TTTTGAGACAAAATCCCGAGACTGGGGGGGGGGGGGGGGGGGGGGGGGGGGGGGGGAGGGGGGGAGGGGGGAACAAAGGACAAACACAACACGAAGTCTCAAACACAGCTCTTATCCTTCAGCGCCTTCCTTTGTGATGCCCCCAACTTGCATTGACGCCAGGAGTCCGAAGCGATCACGGTCGATGTACGTGATCCTGGGGCACATACCGATGTTTGCAATCTCTGCCTCCAGTTGAGAATTCGATGGTCCAACTTGCTGTGTTTGAGACTTCGTGTTGTGTTGTCCTTTCTTTTCCGCGAGTCTCGGGGTTTTGTGTAAAACTTTTAACACTAGTTTGTCTTCGTCTGCGTTAATACATCATGGTTCCCCGAGAATCCCTAAAAGAACGTACGTTTTCCTTTTTAGACATAGCCAATTTGGCATAGGCACAGCTGCGGTTGATAAGTAAAAGTTGGTATAGAAAAGAAAAGAATAAAGAACACATGGGGCGGCTGATTTAAGTGGTTATCCAGTCACTGTATGAGTTGTCAGTGCAAGCTTCTTACTGCTATTTTACTGAACCATTGTTTTACTTTGTTTTCTATGGATAAGTGCGTGAATATGTGAACGCGCTGCATTAATATGTTTTTATTCAAATATGGCAATTAATGTCAACCTGGAACCAACCTCACCTTGAGGATTTCAGGGATGTCGAGCCCCCCCTCCAAAGAAAGACTTCCGGAGCCTCTGCGGCGTGAGCATCTGTTTCATTATCTGTTACACAGACCACTGAAGCAGGCGATGGAGCAGACGATGTAGCAGACGATGTTGCTCATCCGGGCTAGCTAGGGGGCGCTGAGGGGATCTACTAGTGATGACGTTTAGAGAAGGAAACGCGCAGGCCTTGTGTTCTAGGTGGTATTGGCCTGACACGCCTGACAAGTAAATCGTTTCTAACAAAGAGGAGGTCTCCCAGGCATGGATGGTCGGAAGGACACGAAGGATTACGTGAACAAGCATCGTCGCTCGTATACAGTTACAGCTGGAAGCGGGAACGTGCTCCCATGAACGGATTATCCGTGCCAGGGTTTGTGCGCGGGGGAGTCCGGCTTTGCAAAGGCGTATGCGCTGACGACAAGGCGACCATGGGAACAGGCGCCGAGCTGCGAGGTCATTCCAGTGGCGCCTCCCGTGGAACCTACCGCTTGAGTCAGAACTCACTAAAGGCAGACAACAACTCTCGGAGTGTCCCCGTCTTTCACGGTTGCAGCTGAAAACGCGGCGCCTGCGTGCATTACCGGATTAGGTCAATACCCGACCAAGGCTTGTTAAGCATCTCTTCCTGCGTTCGTGCGTGCCGGTGTTATGTTTTGGCTGCTCGTCGCCACCTTGACCCAAGGACGCCTTCTCGAACAAGGGGGCCCCTTGTTAGGGAATGCCACCTCATCTGCCGGCGTCTTATTCATTTCTGCGCTCAAACTTTCGTGATGGGCAAAATTACCACTATATAATTTCGAAAGTAGTTAGTAATTTGAGTAGAAGTTACCTGAAAAAAGTAGTTAAATTAAACTACTAATTACCCAAACCAAGTTGTAATTGAAAGTTACCAAGTTACTCGAAAAAGTAGTTAAACTACAGTAGTTTGAGTAGAGTAGTTGAACTACGTCCAAGTCTGACTGACACACACCTCGCTTACATATTTTTCTTCTCCACTCAGTCTTAGGAATATAAACGCTGCATCCATGAATCTTGACAAACGCTGCATCCATGAATCTTGACATAGGAACCAGTATTGCGCTGGTCGCGGCTTGCACGGAAAAAAAAAATTAAAAGGCTGTGCAAAAAAAAAAAATCGCGTCACGGGATTTTATTTTCTTACAATCTCGTAAATCCTAAATGCTGCTGTGTGCTCATTTCATAACACGTTTCTAGAACGCGCGAGTTCTTGAAGCTTGCTTCCATCGGAATGGGAAAAGAAAAGGCTGTGGAGTTTGATAATAATGCATCCGGTTTCGTATAGGCACTTAGAAGCTAACATATTTGTGAGACAGCGAACTCTTCTATTTTAATATTTATCCTATTACGTCCTTCTGGCGTTGCGTTCGGTGAAGTGTTTTTCATATTTCGTATCTTGTTTAATGAAAACTTCTTTAAGGGTCTAATTTGAGTTACCGAAGGCTAGTTCAAATAAAGAAAGCTGTATTTTCTCCCCACTGTTCCTTTAATTGCTTACACGCCGAGGTAGCGGGATAGTTAGCGAGCTCTACTTGTAAGTGGGTTTGTAAGGAGGTCGCGGATTTTACAGCTACTGCGTCGGACCCAATTAGATGAAGTCCAAATACGTAAACGTCGGTGAGGTAACCTTTGAGTGAACATAAAGAAACCATTCCTGGTAGAAATCCCTGAGCCTTACACTACGATGTATCCGTATATTCGTATGTGCTGATTTCAGATGTTTTATTTGTAATTTATTTTGATGTTGCAATTTGTCATTTATAATTTCCGAACCGGTTTGCGAACCGGTTCAGCGCCCCGAACCGGTTCGCGAACCGGTTAGCGGATCGAATTAATCGAACCGGAACTGAACCAGAAGAAAATAAATTTACCTGAACCTGAACCGTAACCGAACCCGTATTTTTTTTTCGGTTCGACACACTGATTTACGCTTTATCGGAGCAATAAGCGTCAGCGTCAGTGCGACGCGAGCGACATCGCACGAGGCGGTGTTTCGGTGTTACTTACTCAGTATCGCCTGGCACACCGGGCAGCAGCCACTAGTGAGGACGAATCCCTTCTCACAGTTCTCAAGAGGCAAGCAGAACGTCCTTTTACAAATATCTTTCGTGAACAAGACGCGCATTACATCAGACGCGCTAACGCCTTGCGAAGTTGACACGACGTCACAGCAAAGTATCCAGGTGCCAAGAACCAAGACAAGAGCCGCCATGGAACGCATAGCCTCCGCTGGCGTTCCGTCGCAGTCAGAGTACGGTCTGACAAGAACGCGCACGAACGAGGCGCAGACCTCGCGCAACTGTCCCCTCCAACGTTGCTAAGCGTCACGAAGGCGGCTCCAGATAAGATAGGAGAATACGCGGGCAGGTACGAGGCAACACAAAAGATACCCACCTGCAATCGGTGACGAAAATACCGAGGTCACTTTTAACTCTCCGCAGTTCCAGTTGGCTTACCGCAATGTTGAGATTGAGTAAATATCGCATTTACTCGCGTGACATAGGAACAGGACACCGCTTACGTATCTCACGAAAAGCAGGCAACGCTTCACTGAACTTCGGTTCGTCGATCTCGCCTCATGCCTACAGCACACGTAACGATTGCCCTGTCGGGTTTTCTGTTGCTCTGCGGTTATAAACATTGATTCCCCCCCCCCCCCTTATTTTTCTGAAGGCACACTCTTAATTCGAAACGACTCCTCTATTCTCAATGCACCTCCCTAATTCCTCCCCGCCCTTCTCAAAATTTAGCCCCCCCCCCCCCCTCCCCCCCCCTAACTTCAATTCCTAAGGAAACCCCTGGTTATAAATCACTAATCACGAGCTTAACAGCATGCCTCCAGCGATCACATCGACCCGCATTGGAGTGCTTATATGGTTCTAGAAGGCTAAGCAGAGTGTAGACGAAAAATGTTTTGTGAACCGGCACCAGGCCTGCACTAACTGCAAAGGCTCTGCACACGCGCCGGATTACAGCCGCCATTGCTGACCCTCTCTTGTCTTACCCGGATTCCGGGACAGTGAAGCGGGCATTGACGAGCTTCCACAAAGGTCAATGCTGGATGGCAATAAGCTGCCCTGTTGCGGACATGATCAAATGAAGTAAACGTAAGAAACAAACATTGAAGGTCGGTTATGGTGGCGCCCATGCACAGCTGCTGCAAAGAGTCAATACAAGTGCGATCGGTAGCTTGGACGCTCGCGGCCTTTACGGATAGATGAAGTGCAACAGGATTTAATTTGTCGCGCCGCATGAGGATAAAGAGCCGCGAATATAAATAAGGAATGTATCGTTTGGTGTTGTGACACTTAAAAGAACTGATAGCTGGGTATTGTTCTGAAGCAGAAGATAGACCCTTTTAGAATGTAACAAAACAAGTTAAATGCAGCGCTATAAAAAAAAAATGGGCGCAAAAACGCGACTGTGTGAATTCTGCTTGCGCAAGCACTCGCGCAAAAAAAAAAAAAAAAAAAAAAAAAAAAAAAAGCACTTTCTAAATTATAATGCAATTAAATGCAAAGGTGCAAGCGAGCTGGACAAGAATGACGAAAATAACCCCTGGAGAAGGGGACAAACACAAATCTCCAAACACAACCAGGTGACTGGTGAGCGACCGAAAAAATCCGCCTGGTCCGATTATTGAACCCGGGACCTCTCCATTACAGGCGGAGCGCTCTACCAACTGAGCTAACCAGGGGCTAGACGTCAATCGAGCAAACGGGTTTTATGAGCTGTCACCAGTTTTACACCAACAGGGGTGAAGCTTGCAATTTAAGGTTATAATTATAATGCAATTCAATGCAAAGGTGCAAGCGAGCTGGACAAGAATGACGAAGCTTCACCCTTGTTGGTGTAAGACTGGTGGCAGCTGATAAAACCCGTTTGCTCTATTGACGTCTAGCCCCTGGTTAGCTGAGTTGGTAGAGCGCTCCACCTGTAATGGAGAGGTCCCGGGCTCAATACCCGGACCAGGCGGATTTTTTCGGTCGCTCACCAGTCACCTGGTTGTGTTTGGAGATTTGTGTTTGTCCTTCGTCCCTCTTGTTCCCCTTCCCCAGGGATTATTTTCGTCACTTTCTAAAGTCTGGCGGTTTAGGTAGTTTGACATGATAAAAGTAAAACCAACCAACCAATCACGTTCGATACAGCCGCCGACGTTGCGCGGCTTCAATGCGTAGCTTTGAACATGACCCCGCGATTGAATCAGTATGAACGAAATCCCGGCGCATTTTCCTCTTTTTTGCAGACATGAATGAAAACACAAACTTTTGCCACATTGGTTGTTGCACCAAATGAGCACATTCCACTAAAGTGGCAATTTCTATCATAAACCTTTAACTACAAGAGAGAAAAAAAAAGGCTGGCCGCGTTGTGTCGGTTTGATAGAGCCATGCGAAAGGTTAACTGCAACATCCCTACAATGTTTCGGTCTTTTTCAGCTGATTTTATAAACTATACTGTCGACAGGCAGTGAACCACGAAGCCTCATTGGCCTCTCGTACCAAACAGTTGCTCAGGATATGGGACTTCACCAAGGTCGTGTAGAGCCCATGAAACCAGAAAAGATTGGAGCTACTAACCCTTTGCGTGAATATGCATAAATAAGAGCTAGAGTGGTATAAATTTGACAAGATGAACCCTATCGTATCGTGGACCTGCTGCTCATTTCGGGAATCCGTAAAAACAGAAAGGGAACAATGTAGAGAGATTTTCAATCGTGCTCTGGAGCAATGACAGAGGCGGACATCCCGTACCTCGTCGCAGGAGCTAGACTGCCGTTTCGCATGCTTACACAGCCGCTGCGCAGGTCCACAAGACTGAAAGCGAAAAGCCCAAGTTCTACAGAAAGGGTTGAAAATTAGCCCAGTTGGTGCTGATTAATGCATGAAAAGAAGACAAAAAAAAATTAGGGCCAATGTGACCGTGCGCGTTTTCTATTTTGGCATCGTTTTCCGTGCGGTTTTTGTACAGAAAGCCTACTTTGTCTACTCCCGTCTGGCATAAATCACTCACTACTCCCGTGTGGAATAATAATTACTCCCGTGTGGTGTAACGTGAAAGCTCCCGTGCGTGAGCATTGCGAGCGACCGCAATCAAAGGAATTGTTAAAAAATAGACCAATTAAACCCCGGACGAAACCCGCAACCCAGAAGTCAGCTTAGAGGAGAATCAGCCACTGTACAGTAGGAATAAAATATAGGGAGCATTTTATTTAAAAAAATCAAAATTCTAAAATCAGCACAACGAAAAATACACGATGGCATGGAAGATATACAAATGATTGACGGGTCCGCTAACACTGCTACTACGCTGGTGAGTTTGATCCTTCGAAACTTGCCCCGTCGATGTCTGCAATACAAAGGAGAAGAGAAAATGCGTATTAGTAACATTTCGTGCCACCTCTACCGTTAAAACGTCCACCAGTACCACCGCCCTAGAGGTGAAAGTCCAAAATACTTTATGCGGCACTTTAGAAGTGAAGAGTGCTCGTGCACAGCTTCGATCGGCGTGCTTCGATCGGTGTTCAAGTTGCGCGCACCCGCAGCTCTGGCCTCCTTGCCACAAAACAATTCGTAAGATGTATCTCAAAGTCATGCCCGTGTTGGCCTCGAGCAAGCTGCCCGATCTCACCAGCCAGTTTGGCTACGGTGCCTTAGTTTGGCCACGCCGTCGCTGCCACATGTATCGAGGGAACCTGTCTTTTGCACGTGCGGCAACCTCGCTAGACCTATGCCAGAGCACGCGACGGCGCGAGTCGTCTCGTACAATGCCGCCTGCTTCGTGTGGATTATAGTTGTGGCGGCGTGACGCGTGCACCAAACGTTTGGTGAGATCGGTCAACAGCTGTACTCTGCAACGTATCGACGACTCTGACGATTCTCACGGCCACGCGCTCGACTCCTTTTGCGCCCCATCACCGATGTGGCTTGTCCAGCCACTAGTAACAAACCAACAATGCTGAAATGATAGGGGTTGACTCGGTCCACCAGGAGGGCTATGTTGCGCTTTTTGCACTCCCAGGAGACTAGGGAGAGGGAAGTGACGTCAACGACACAGCATACGCAGATTGGGTGTTGATTTCGTTTTCTTCTTTCAACATCCAATCTGCGTTTGCTCTAGTCGTTGACGTCACTTCCCTCTTCCAAGTCGCCTGGGAGTCCAAAAAGCGCAACATAGCCCCCCAGTATCTCACGAATCAAAAGAGTGACATGCAAATTAACAAGCAAGGCCGTCGAGTCATCCCCGTTATAATAGAGTGCAACAGCAATAAATTAACAAACACATCAACAAACACTTCGTCCAATGCGACTTTCTCTTGACTAAAGTGAATATATGTTGACCTTTTAGCTTTGATAACTTCGCCCGTGGAGATTTGGCTTCCTGGCCGTAGGCAGCGCCGGATTTGCTGGGTTTCTGGCGTGGCTTTCGGGGCTGTTGGTTCTTGTCTTTCACCTTAGAGCTGAGTAGTGGGTGGGTTTCTGCGAGAAATTTAAAAATGTTGGTTCTTGTTCTTAACTGCAAGAGCATGCGTAAAATAACCTTTCAGCAAATTCTAACTTGGTGGTTCGACTATACTTCGTCTCACCTTAACATGGACTAATTGCGAAGGCTGTGCAAGCGCGAGCGGCTAGTCTTGACTGCCCTGACTGGAGCACTCGCTGCACGAGCGCTCGTGCAGCCGCCGAGGCTTCATCCAAAGCAAGTAGCTCGCCCGTTTAGCATGCGCGATTAGCAGTAGTCCATGCTAAGGTGAGACGAAGTATTGGCGACGTGCGCGACCGAAAGCGTCGCTGTGGTCGGCCTTCCACGATTGGCCCAAAAGCTGACTATGACGTCAGAAAAGGATTTATCATCGACGGAAATAAGAGGAATGAAAGAACTTTCATTTTGACGGTGTTGGCAGTGTTGCTTTGAGAGCGCAATGATTTCAAGCTTCCACCATGCTATTTACAAACACCATCGAACTTGTTGTTCGCAAGGTAATGACGTCACAAGGGGGAACCGTAGGAGGGCGCCACTAAAACATCTCGCCGCTAATAGACGAACACCCAATAACCGTGTTCCAAAATTTACTCGACCTCACTCCGGTGTAAAGGTTCTGTACGTTCGCGTTCGAAGACCTAATCGCGTCCAGCGCTGCTCTATCTGTGTTGTCACGTGACATAATCCGCCTGGATCATGTCAAGCCCAAGGCTGGGAAAGCCCGTACAATTTCAAGCTCACCAAAGTTACCTTCACGCCCACGCTGCAAGTGCTTGCACGCATGGAACATCAGTCGGAACGGCATGCTTGTGTTGTTAAGTAAAAAAAAAACGTAAAAAAAAAAGCGAAAAAGCTTGGAAGAGAAAACATCATGACATAACAATCTGCCGTCAGCTTTTTTTCTTTTTCCTGTTGTTTTTGTGTTTTTTGTAACGGTGCAACCTTTTATCAGTTTCAGTTTTGCGGCAACTGCGCGAGCGCTCGCGTAGACGAAAACCACACACGATCTCTTTTACGTGCGCTCCGCAAATCACACATATTCCTGTTGCAGTCGGCGGTACGTTTGCGCTCGCTTCTTGAGCGAGGCAACGCAACGCGCATTTAAAGACCGACCTTCCAAGTTCGCAATTTTCCCGGGCTCAAGGTACGATGTCCTACCGCTGAATGAGTGTCCGTTCCACGCGAACATTATTCCAGGAAAATCGCCGGAGCGCGCTCACGCGTCAAATAGATCCTTTTCAAAAGTTCATCGAGCAACATTGGCGGTCGCCATTTCTTGGGCGCGATGCGTGTGAATGGAACCGAGTCCTCGCCGTACGCTGACGCAAACCTCGTGCCCAATACAGGCTCAGAGTACATGCCCAAACAATGGCGGCCTCGGATAATAGGCGCAGCAGCCACTAGATGGCGCGTACTTTTGCAAACGGTTAGGGTGCCTACATGTCTGTCTGTCTCAGGGTGAAGACATCCATTCTTGCCCTGAATGTGCCAGCGCGTGACGGGCTCGCGCACTCGGTGAGTGACTTGGGCGGTAAAATGGCGTCTATACCTTAGCCAAAGCTACGAGCTCGAGCTGAGTGACACCAGATTGCGCGCATTTCAAAATACATAAAAAACGATTGGGCGGAAAAATGGCTGAGATGTCACTACTCAAGCAAAAGCGCGCGTGTGTATGAAGGCACTCTACAAACGGTCTATTCGGGAAACGGTCTAGTAGCGTAAACAAAAAATACTGAGACTGTCCTATAAGGGGAAAAAAAACAAAAAAAAAAACGGGTTTTGACCGTGTAGCTTTACTTGAACGAGCGCTCGTCCAACCACAGATCCAGTAAAACCTGTACGCTCCAAACTGCGCAGGCAAAACTCTTCGACCTGTTGCTCGCACGCAAACTACCACAGAGCTTGCAAGTGGCGTCATCGCCCCGTACACCAGCGGACATTCCTACTTCTCCTTGTCGAAAAAAAAAATTAAAAAAAAAATTATAATCTAATTCGGTGGTGCGAAATATTTTCTGCAAAACGTACGCGCGCAGCAGCAAGTTACTTTACGATGGCCGGCGATGTGACGTCAGTCCAAGTCGTGTACCGTTTTAGCTTCAACCTTCGGTTTAGAGCGCCATGTTTTATTCCCTCGAAATAATAAATAATAAAGTTCGTAGCATGCTCGCTTGGCTCGTTGAAACCCACAGCTGTTCCCGGTCGTAATTGCACGTAAGAAATAAAAAATGAAGCTTACTGCGAGCTGGGGCTTTGGGCAGCGCCTCGAGTCATATGTAGCGCTTTGGGAAGTACGGGTGCGAACGGTTGGCGCCATTCCACAGTGCAACAGTGCATTGTAGTCATACATTTCCTTCCCAGCGCAAGTGTCCGTACAGGCAAAGCATCGTGCAGAGCTACGCTCTGGCGCTAGTGCTTTTAATAACGCTGCACTAGCATGTGATAGAGCCACCAAACCATTTGATGTCCAAGCCACGCAGATAACATGTGAAGTCCAAGTTACGCTGATTTACAGATTACAAGAAAACGCCCTGAGAATTAAGTGCACGAGTGTTATGCACTATGCATGAAAGTCGTTTCATGCATGGTGCGCAATGCTGCCGGCACAATGACAACAGAACCACTAGTTATACACTCGTGCAAACAGCTTGTGCAGTTTTCTACTAATTGTTTTTTTTTTTTTGTTTTTGTTTTTGTTTTTTTAATAAAGTATTAAGTTTGCATAGCTTCCGCCAACACAAAATCGGGTTTATGGACCGTGCCATTTTGCGTGTTCGTGCGAACGGCGTGCGCCTTGCTTGCGTTCTGGGGCAACAAACTCGAGCGTGTTTATTTGCAATTTCGTGAGCGCTGTACTAGGGCATCTGAGCATACGCTCGTACGTTTCATGCCGCTCTGTCCTAGGATGGGTTTGCGCAGCTGTCTCCGGACACCTCGCTAAAACGGTTCCGAAGTAGCGCGTTTTTTTCTCGGGTGCACGTATTGATTTTAAAGTATAATTCTAGAATTATTATTATTTATTATTTTTTTTTTAATTTACACTGGGTCATCATTTGAAAGCAATCATGACATTCCCCTGCCATAAGTTCCCGCTCTTCTGGTTTGAGTCTCTACTGGCTTCGCTGCCCCTCCCAACTTTCTTCCCCTCATTATAACCATAAAGGGACAGAGGCAATACGTAGTCACCTTTCAAAAGGCTGCAAGTAATTTGGAGGACACATGCGAGCACGTAGCCAATTGGAAAATTGCAGCCCCACTGCGACCGCGCGCGACGTCACAAACAGGGGGCAAAGACAGCGTGGGACAATAGAGGGTATGCCGCCAAGTTGGAGGATATCGACCATCTTGAACCCTAGGCTGTGCGACAAACGGGTGTGTGACTCAGTCGCAGGCTCAATACTGCAGATAAGGGGTTCTCAAACTGGGTTACGCGGAACACAGGGGTTCCAAATTGCAGTGCTCCCCCCCCCCCCCCCCCCCCCCTTAGTTTAATTAACATTCCATGGACTGAGCCATGGATCGAGTTGGTGTTGTGGGCAGAGCAACCTCACCCTTTGCACTATTATGTATATGTATTTTACATTGCGCCCCAGTTTAACCACTCTGCCTTCTTATTCTTTCTGTAGTCCTCCTTTTTGTCTTATTCTATCAGTGCAATAAACTCATGTTCACTAACATGAGTTCACTAACATGGCGGTTAGAACTGAATCGGATGTGTGTCTTTTGTTGGTTTTGCGGTACGTGTTTTTCCAGCATTAAGCGCTCTGTGGTGTGCGTCTCTCCTACTCGTCCGTCATTTTTAGCGCTTTTAACCCCTAAACAAATCACTAACACCTTTATTTCCCGGTATTATCGGTTGGCAACAAGGGGGGGGGGGGGGGTTCCCCTGGGACAAAAAAGTTTGAGAACCCCTGAAAAACAGTAGCCTAACTCAAACGAATGCGCCAACACGCTGCTTCTTTCCGGCTGCACGGTCGATTGTATCATGTCCAATATGTTGTGGTGGAACACTAAGTTCATAACACCCTCATGACAATCAATAAAATTCATGAAATATAGAGCATATTATGTACATACATATGAACACATAAAAAACCACACAGGAAGCTGCCATGTTCTTTCCTTTACACAGCTTGCTAGAATGTAATGGCAGAAATAAAACGATTATGAAAAGCTAGTGACGCAGCTAATCACAACACTGGAAAATGAGAACAAAGTATTGGCAAACTGAAGTGCATTCATGCCATAATTTATTTTCTGTTTACTGCACAATCTCAAGAATTCTTTAATCCTTTAATTTCCATAACTTAGTTGAGCAATGAGATAACTGATAGCTTAAATTCAACGGAAAAGCACTCAAAATAACAAATTTAACGGGCATAAAATAAATGTTTTGTACCCCCCATTGGTGCGTCTTTGAGATCAATGTCGTAAACCTTGGGCTTTTTCTTCTTTGGGGAGTCACTTTGGGAGCTGGGCCTCTTTGCAGATGTATCCTCAATAATCTGAAAATATACATAAACGACATAGCTCTCTTTTAATGGCACTTTTCTCCTTCATGTCCTTTCAAAATTAAGTAATAAAAGTGCAGTCCTCAAAAAGTTTGATAAGAGTGCCTCGTTATGCCTCGTCAAGCAATGCGATTTCACTGGAATTTGACCAAAAGCAGAACTTGTCCTGTCCAACTCTGTGCAATGTGATTTATGAGATTACTAGCATAAATTTCTTAAGTATTTCAGCAATATTCACACACTTGACTAGAATGCCAGGTTGCAGATTCATGAAGACGAATTACAAAAGTACATGCTACAAGCCCATCCAATTGCTCTATCTCCAATATCATTGTCGCTTATGTTCGCGGACACCATACTGTACTTCCACAACACAAACAAAGCAAAGCTTTAGACATTCATAAAAAAAGCAGGAAGGAAAATTGTAGCAGTCGCACCAGACAGTCCACACAGGAAGCGATTCTGTGCAAAAACACTCACAGACTCGGGCGGCTGACCCCAGCCTTCCTCCGGCTCGTCGATTTCGGGCGAAATGGGCAGGTACAGCAGGGCTCTGGTGTCCTCCCCTTCCTCGTCACTGCATGTCCAAGGAACTGCCATTGTTCTCAACACCCACAGCTAAACCTGGAGTTACCTCATGGGCTGAGTAAAACAAAAAGTGGCAAAAGCGGCAAAAGTTTTTAAGGCAGGCATAGGCAACCCTTTATTGCAGCCAGTCTATGAAGGGCAAGTGGGCCAACAACCAACAGTTGAAACAATGAACGTTCCTTCCTACGAAAGAAATCCGTAGTGCCGCAGCTTGATCTCGGGCAATACATAACTGTCTATGAAGGTATGCACAAAGGTGATTTTGATGTATGTATGTCATGCGTGCTGGAAAATATTTAATCATGTTTTACAAAGAAATGGACAGGGGCTCCGGAACCGGGGGGGGCAGGGGGGGCGTCCTCCCCCCTCATGTTTTTTTCGTAGGAGTCATGCCCCCCCGATGCTGAAGGCTGACCCACAACCCTCTCTTAATAGGGAATTGTAGTAGACCGTTTTTCTTCTCCGCTACGGTATCCCTGAAGAAAACGCCGCAGCTGCGCATGCGCGCCGCCAGCCTTGTCTGCATAGTTCGAGGTCTTGTGGCGGATTACGGAGCGCAATCCGGGTGCTTAGCGGGCTGCGGAAACGGTCTACTACAATTCCCCAATGTAGTAAGAGCAACATGCTACTGCGCCTTCCAAGCTTGAAGCGGAATAAGAAGGACAGCGACGTTTTGTCGGGACGAGAATTGGTAGTAAAGCTGTTTCGTCTGAGCCAGCCTTGAGGCGCGCGTATTGGTCAAATCTTAATCACTGGCAGCAGGACGGGGGCAGCTTAGGAAAGGCACCTTTCAACCATTCCTTGTCATCGGAAAGGATGGCAGGGAGGAGGCCTCCCTCCGGCTCTGGATAAGCCTCCCTAAACGTAAAACCTTTTGCCGCGGGAAACTGGTCTCTGGCAGAGCGCTTCAACGAACAGCAGTCCGGAGCATATGTCCTTGGAGGGACTGCACACTCTCTTTGACGAGTTTTACTTGGGATCGGCTCTTTCAAGCTCGGCCATGCCAATACCGTGCCAATTAAGCGCACTGATCCCATAATGGCCGGAGAGGGTTCAGAGCTGGCCTAGCATGGGAGGCGCCCCTTGAAGTTTCTGCACGACGCCTAGACGCGAAAAGCATTTCTGCCATCCGTCAATCATTTTCATACTTTTGTTCGGTGTGACAGGAGAGGCCACGGAAACGCTCTTGCGTGCTAGAGATTTTGAAGATCTCTTTTTGTTACTCAGAAAAGATTTCGGCTAAACAAAGGTTGCTTCCTCCATTTCAGTTTTTCCGCGCGTACGATCTTCAAAGTTGAGCGGGGGGGGGGGGAATCTGCACTGCAAGGATGTGAGCCTTGACCCCCGCCCCCTTGATCAGAATTGACTTCCGGACCCCTGGAAATGGCCAATTATTTTTAGTAGTCAAAAGTAGATGGGAAAGTTGTCAAATGCCTACTGAATAAAATGTGTCAGAAACCCTTACAAATTCCTAATTTATTTTGCTCAAATAAAAAAAAATGGAGACCTACATCTTTGTTTCTGATCCTCCTAGGTCAAAGTATTCCTGCTCCATAATTCTCATCATTAATTCATTAAGAATTTTATTCATATTAAGAACACTATTTTCTTGTTTAAAGCATGGGTTCTGAATTGGGTTCCTATACGCGGGGGGCAACTTTCTGTGGCAATGGAGCCAAAGCTGGAGCCAAAGCATGCCGTTTCACTGCATAGCTGTATACAGTTCAACTGAACTAATCTTCTGGATGAAACTTGAGCAACTAAAAATGATACAATCATTATTTTTAGCTTCTATTTCACAATCTTAGTATAATAGTAGTCAGGATATGCAAAACTGTTAACTTTTCTTTTTCTTTAGCTCTTTCGTTGTTTTGTTTTTCGTTTTTTTTCTAATTTGCAACAAGTTTCCTAGTTGCCCGAAAAAAAAAAAAAAAATGGTACTTTCATGAGCTTGCACTTTCGTTAGCCGCGTAGGATTTTCGCGAAGCTTGGCAAAGCAAAGTTGTCAAAACGAACCAAGCAAATGGTGTGCAATATGTACTCACAAGTGAGACAGAGAACCCGGACTCTCTATTGTTTCCATAAACCGGTTGGTTAGTGAGCTCACCAGTGTAAGCAAGCGGAAGTCAGAACTGAGCCAGGATCCCTGAATTCTACAGCTGTGGTGTGCTACCGACCCCCTAGGACCAGCGGTAACTGAACGCAATCCGAATGGGGCTTGACTTTGAGCCGCAACATGTGCGTGCTCCTATTTTGATAAATTGCACCCGCACAATCATTTTTCAGCGCCAAAAAAGTTTACATATCAATAACCTCAAAACTAAAGCATTGATGAAATTCATGACATTTCTTAAATCGACCTTGGATATCTGCGTTGGTCGCAAGACAAATAGAATTTGGTGAGATCGACCACGGTGTAATTTACCTTGTAAGTTGGTCAGAACACTTCGGTCGAATCGGTGGCTTGTGTTTGGAAACGGGTGAAGCATAGGAAAAGAGATGCGAATATGCCTGCACGCTCTGTGATTGCAGTTCAGCACCCTCAACCATAATTCTCATACGAAACTATGAACTGTAAAAACTGCCTGCCTGTCACGGCAAAACTCAAACTGAAACCGAAACCAAAAATGTGCAGAACTGCCTCGTGCAATAACACAGAACTGTTAGCTCTTCCTCCTCCCCTAGCGTTCTCTTTTCTCTTCATTGCCACAGGAAGTTGTCCTCAGGTATAGGGACCAGGGGTACCCAAGGGGGATCTTAGGGATTTCCCAAACTCCCGAATTTCCTCCACCATCCGCCTCTTCCAAAGCAATGTGTCTGTCCAGTCTATTATTTACAAACCTTGAATGAAATTTGCACAGTTTATGGTGCTTAATCTCCTTCTTATAGATCTGGTGTTAGTTTTGATATGGCTTTTTTTTATTTTATTTTTTTATTCTAGATACAATGCACGTGCATTGTGGTTCTTGGCTACACACTTAAAAGATCTTAGTAAAATAAACTAATTCACCCTTTTTAAACCACCAAGTGCAATGAACAACAAAAATAATGTGTACAAAACCTCTTATATTAAAAATAGCAAAAGCACAATTTTTAAAGGGCTCACAAAAGTATCTTTGAGTTTTCATTAATATAAAATTTTTCATTCTAACCAAACCAGGTGGTTGCATTCTACATATCCTCCATATCCATGCCAAATATGGTTGTGATAAGACAATACAGTGGAATCCACTTCGAACGATACCACATATAACGATACACTGCCTACAACGATCAGTTTCTAGAGTTTCTAGATTAGAAATGCTCAGTTTCTAGTTCAGATACAACAATAATTGGTTATAACAATTGAATTTTCCGGTTTTCTCATTATCATATTAACCCCTTAGGCTTAAGTGCCTGGAACGAGCTGAGCTCGTCAGCCACTTTCTGGCTAAAAATGCCGTGGACGAGCTCAGCTCGTCCAGTAGTTTTTTCGGTAGCCCTCAATTCCACGGACGAGCTAGGCCCGTCCTAGTTTTGCGGCGCTGATCATAGATGGCAGCACTCGTTTTAGTTGGCAAATATTTTTTTCGCCTCCGCTGATTTTTTCGTAATAAACTTTTCAAATCTTGTGTAATACTAAAGGAATAACAATTCAAAATAAAAAGATATAACACTTTTAGGTTACTTTTGGAAAAAAATATCTGGCACTTAAGGGGTTAAGTGGATTGCACTGTTTTAAGAAAAAAAATTCTTCTGTACAAACTGAAGATATTCCAAAACTACAAAAAGAGAAACACATGTTCGATTATCACCATTTCTGTGTTGCAATACTCTTTTGCAGCAGGAAAAATAATGTTAATAATTTTTCCTGAGGAATTGAAGCTACAGAAGAATGCGAGGAAGAAGAAACGGCTCGGCCTACTTCGCAGAAAAGGTGGGACGGTGGGCAACAACACGATTCGGAGAACCGCGCCCACAGAAATGGATCAAATTTTGGCCTTTCTGGGCCGCCAAGAGTTCTTGAAATGCGTATTTGACTAAGTCTGCAATCATGTTTGGTCCTTATTATTTTATACATTAAAATATGAAGATTTTAGATAAAAAAACGCCCTAAAACACGAAATCACAATTTTTGCAACAGATTGCCGTCTTTCTTTTACATTTAAGGGATCCGAGTCATCCAGTGATGTACAAATACGGGCCAAACACTTCATAGTATGTCCACTATTGCCTACAAGGTCTGTAGGTTTTCGTGCTGCTTTAGAGAGAGGTTCTCCACCCATCAATGAGAGAGATGACTTAGCCCTAAAAGTTAAAAAGTTTTGAGAACCTTCAGTTTAGAGCTACGTAAAATATAGGAAATGCTTTTAAATGACAGGCATCAACTACTATAATGCCAGGAAAGTATCAGAGTTGCATTAGGGGTAGCATTCTCGATCGAACTGGTGGATAAATTTTCCTCCGCAGAGGTCAAGGACAATATCCGTCTCCTGCCAGGATTCACCTGCTGCAGAAAGCAATGATGGGCTCCACCGTCTCCACGTCCACCTCTCCATCTTCCTCCTCTTTCTCAGTGTGCTGCGGCGGGCTCGAGTCTTCGTCCTCCAGATCAAATTCACTCTCCCTCTCTTCGTACTCCACGTTTTCGTCCAGCTCTTTAAAATCCGGAGCAAAGGCACTCCAGTTTTCCTGCCAAAACAGCACTCTTTAGAGATTATGGTGCAAGTTACCCATACACTATAACCACAGGCAGGCTAAGGCCATCGAAGCATGACCACAAAAAAGCTTGCAGGAAATTATGGCCCAAAACTAGTCGTACCTGTTTATCTGCACTAACAGTGAGAAAACAAAATGAAACCTTAAAAAATCATGAATCGCGAGTGTTACATACATTTCTAAAACGAGAACAAAGTCAATTTAACTAAAACAAGCCTCATGACAGGACTAAAAGCAATCTATACAAGGTTTCAAAAATGGAAAGCATGTTCTGTCACTGGTGTTGACAACAGGATGGGAACACTACATGCTGTTTCAGAAAGACAGGAAGAAGCACTTAGTTCACCACACAGAGAAACAAGAAAATAAAATTATATATCTGTCAAGGCCAAAAAACAATCTGTACAAGGATGGAAGAGGCACTTCGTCGCAGGTGTTGACAACACAACAGGATGAGCACACAACTTCAGATGTCACCAGCACTGACTCAACATTGGCCAGACAATCATAATAAGAAGCAGAGAACATGCATGCACAAGTTACTGACCACTTGTGGCTGTGCCCAGATGGACACTACTCCACTGGATATCGAGGCAATGATTGGACGCACAGGGTGCCACTGAAATGAAAAACAATTACTTTCAGTCTCAGTTCAAGTGCATGCCCTGAGGCAGACAAATAATTGAAGTGGCACATGGCACCATTTCAGGAGCTTTGCCTCCTAGGCTGTAACTTTCTCATTTAGAGATGAAATTGAATGATGTTACATTCAAATAAATGAGTGGAATCTCCTCTTTCCCAGTGGCACACAACACTTCAATATTGTCCCCGCCAGTGGTGATGCACTTCCGCTATTGGTGCACTACTCTCCACATGCCGTCGTAGACGATTGAGAGTGGATGTTGACAACACCAACGGTGCACTGCATCTGTAAACTCGTCATTCGACACAAACCGTGTGCCCTTCAGATGTTCCTTTATTTTGAAAAACAGCCAAAAGTCTGATGGTGCGAGGTCCGGGCTGTAAGGTGAGTGAGGCAAAACATCTTAGAACTGCAGCCTTCCCAGCGCGGCTGTCGGAAGATCATCATCGCCACCACCGCCGGGTGACCCAGGACTCTGCCCGCCGCTTCCTGGTTCTGAGGATCCAACCAGCAGCGAAGCTTTGAAGCAGTGAAAGAAGCTCTAACCAAAGTGCCAGTTCTGATGCCCTAAAATCCGAAGAAGGCTCTCATAGTCTAGGCAGACGCATAATCTTACGGATTGGTGCCGTCTTGCGACAAAAAACCGACGGCAAGCACCTGCCCAATGCCTATGCATCCCAATCTCTCACTGAGACAAAGCAACATTACGCTCAAATCGAGAAAAAAGTGCTCGCGATCACATGAGCCTGTGATCATTTCTGCATGCACATCTTACGACTGCAGTTTCAGATTGAGACAGACCACAAATTGCTGGTTCCTCTCATGAAAACAAAGCGACTCTATGAGCTGAGCCCACGACTGCAGCGATTCTGAATGCAACTGCTTTAGTACAACTACGCCATAGGACATGTTCCTGAAAAAGCGATGTTCACAGCCAACGTGTTGTCACACAAGCCATTAACTGACACAGCCTCTTGTACAAGGGAACTCAACACCAAAGAGTATGCGCTCTTCATGCCGGAACGGCTTCCAGCCTCCCAAGAAATGCTCGGCCGCATCAAGATTGAGCTATGGTCAGACCCGGTAACAAAGAGGGTAATCGAGTACACCCTCCGAACGTGTCAGGATAAAATGACGCTTCCTCAAGGGGTCTACCAATTCTACGAAATCCCAGCGAACTAGCCGTACAAGACAGCATCTTGTTCAAGGCAATCGACTCGTCACACCGGAAGCCCTATGCTTCGAAATCCTGGAAAAGCTCCATACAGGTCACCAGGGTGTATACAAATGCCGCGCCAGAGCACGAGAATCAGTCTGGTGGCCAGGCATTGGCCTCCACATCAACAGCTTCGTCCGAAGGTGCCCCCTGTTTATCAGGAACACAGGCAAACGCGGGACAACCTTCGTTTTTGGCAACTCCACTGCCAAACAGCATGGACCTTTTTGTCCATGAAGGCAGTAATAACTTGATTGCTGTTGATGACTATTCAAGGTTCTTCGAGCTTGAACCTTTGAGGACGACGATGACCAGGGACATCATCGCCGTCCTCGACCCTATGTTTCCACAATATGAAGTGCTGAAAATGCTCCGAACCAGACAACGGATTGCAATTCACCTCACGCAAATTTGCGATGTTTCTGAAGGAATGGGGAGCAACGCAATCAACGTCAAGCCCATACTACCCACAGGGCAAGGAGGAGACAGAGAGGACAATCCAAACGGCTAAGCAACTCCTCAGAAAATCGACAGGCATCCACAAGGCATTGCTGGCCCCACGTGCGACCCCAGGAATCGAAGGTTACATGTCTGCAGAGACATGTAACCATGTAACATGGGACAAAGACTATGCCCAAACGTGCCAAAAAAGCCTGAATTTCTCAAACCTCGCTAGGACACCATTGACATTCGCTCCAGAAATGCCTTATACAAGGAGGAGATGCGCCAACGCTATGACGAGCACCGCAGAACACGTGAGCTCTATACCCTTCCACCTGGAACTGTAGTCAGAATTCTGATGGGAGCAGCGTCTTACAGTCACATTCTAGGGCAAACGCCTCAACCCCGTTCCTACGTAGTGCAGACGACGACCACCACTACACGGCGAACAAGAGGACACCTGCAACCGGCTGTGGCACCTGCGTACCGTCACCAGGACTGGCTGTATGAGCCAGCTACTCATTTCATTTGAATGTAGCATCTTTCAAGTCCATCGCTGAATAAAAATATTTACAGCCTAGGAGGCAAAACTTATTGATCACCCCTCGCATAACAGAAACATCAAGCATGTGTGTACCATTTTTAAATGGTACACAGATGCTTGATGGTGATTGCAGTATGGCAAGCTACAACAAACTGATTCTTTTTATGTTCTCATACCTGCTATGGCCCACATGCGTGAGCCGCAGAATCCTTTAAATAAATAATAGGGAAAAATGTCAACGTAGCCAAATGTGTGTGTTTTGAAGCGCTATACTTTAAATGAAAAAAAAAAAATGCAACCTGCTTTTAATTGAAAATTATGGCAATAGGGTGTAGAATGTTTCACCTCAATTTAAAAGAAATCAAAGTTTTTTTTTTATTGCACTAAAGTTTTATCTTTGGACATGGTAGAAGTACTGTAAATATTTTTTTTATAATCTAGAGCAACAAATTATTTGCAGAGGATAGACCCTTATGTGAATTATATATGAAAAAAATTCCAATGTTCTATCTCAAAAGCACGACAAGCTAATAAATCACAAATATTTAATGCAACATGTTTTTAATGAAAAAAACATAGCAATATGAATTTTTTTAAATTGTTTGTTGAGATTGCAGTATTTTTTACCTTGGGACACATTTGAAGCACTGTAAATATTTTTATTTATAAACTAGAGCAACAAATTATATACAGACGATAGACCCTTATGTGAACAATATATAAAAAATATTTCAATGATGTATCTTAAAAACAATGAGATAATAAAGCACAATTATAAAGTAAAAATGTCGAAGTAGCCATATGTTTGCGCATTTTCGATGTGCAATATATAATTTCTATAATTGTACAAATTGATGCAAATATTACCCGTACGTATCTGTATGTTTTCGTTCAGAAATAAATAAAATAATAAATAAATAATAATTAGCACTATAGACAAGTATCTTTATAATTAATTTTGGTTTTCTCTGATTTGTGCTTTGTCTAGTGCCATCAAACATGGAAAAAATGACAAATCTTTAATACTGCTCTGATGCAGTATTAATGTTTTTTCTCAAAACAATTTTTTTTCTTCTATGTTTTTTGTTTTTTTTTTCTTATTTTATTTTTTCTATATGTTGGGGAGTAACAGATAAAAATATGAAGAAAAACAAAAATACTCGAGCAGGCATGCACGCATGAGTTTTAGGGTTGTGTGAATAGTGGATTTTGATTTCGAATCGAATTCAAAGCGAATAGTGATTTTGGCCAAATATTTTCGAATTGAATATCGAATACTTGCTGTTCAAAATCTTGGCCGCGAAGTGGCATGCAAGATAATTATTGCAGACGCGCAAATATTAAGTGGGTTGATTTGTGAGAATGAGACCCTAATTAATGCATGTATGACTTATTTATTGGAATACAGGGTGCCAAGATTGGCAAAGATGGCGCAGGCGTTGCTGGAGCTCATTGATCGGTTTCTTTTGACCGTTTTTAAACAAAGTTGATGAAACAACTACGATGAATATACTTGAGAGTTTCCACCATAATATTTGTAGCATTTTTCCGAACGTGTGAGTATATTTTTTATTTAAGAAATCATTCCTTACAGATTTTTAGACAGTAAGCAAACACGCGACTTAAGGTTGCCAAAACTTCGAAAAGCATGAATATTACAACTGCTCTCGAAGCGAATATTAAATAGCGTAATATTTAAAACGACTATTTGAAAATTTGAATACTATTCGCATAACACTAATGATTTTATCTGAACAGCCCCATATAAGCATGCACTTCCTCGGTGTAGTACTTACAATATATGTTTGTGACAAAAAAAAAGAGATGTTTAATAAACAACTTTTTTTATTTTTGTTTTTTAAAAATTAGAGATTTTCCTAATCAAAAATGGGAATAAAAACAAGTCTTGAAGGTGATGCCATCTTGCATTCAGATCATGAAGGTCACTGAAACCTGATGCCAAGGAACAGCTGTTGCCTCAAATACATCTAACATGCCTGATCTATAAAACAAAATTGGAGCCCCCCCCCCTCCCTCCCCCCACCCCCAAACAAAGTGTTTCCCCAGCACCTGAGACATACCACAACATCAAGGAGCAGCTCCCCTTTGGTTCCATGGAGGATCTTGACCAAGTTGCCGATGCTCTTCTCCCAGATGTAGAGTGCGTGCTGACGTGCCGAGCCTGCACAGATGTACTCTCCATCCCCTGAGAAGCAACACTTCTTCCACATGGTCCTGCAAAGCAAAGTAATTGCGAAGTTATTGTATTCTGCTACTGACCTTTGTGCTCAGAATTTTCAGCAAGTAACGCATCTTATGGAGCCACAAGTACAGTAACTGCTTCTTCGGCTAGACATTCATTGCTGTCATGCCAAGAACATGTCCTCATGCTGACTCTTTCGTGTTTAGTAGTCTTAGTTCGATTTAAACATATTGAATCACTAAGCAACTACGATAGTCGGAAAACATGCAAGTCTCTTCATTAGATTGCGAATGTAGGGCTACTCGCCTATTTCCTCGGCCCTTTCTCTCTTTATCCAAGACAAAATTTGCTCAAAATTAGCTGCTCCTGATATGTGTAAAGTAAAAGATAGACCTATGAAACTGTTAAAGTTCCATATATTAATTTGAACATATTCCATTCAACCTTCAGATGGTATACTATTTACTTCATATTGTTAAGTGAACAGCTAAAGTTAGCTACCACAAATAGTGTTTATCATGCTCATCATTAGCTTTTATGGGTGTCCTATGTCATCTGTCTACTAAAACATAGCTCTTTGTTTAGTACAGTAGACTCTCATTAATTCAAACTCCAAAAAGTCACAGATTTTAGTTTGAATTACCAGAAGCTTGAATTATCAGGAATTCATCTAAATATGATACTAGACAACATTATGATTTGTTACATGGATACACATACATGTATGTTAACACACATACAAAGCAGATTTTTGCCAGTTTCCTCTACATAGAATAATTATAAGCAAGTACAGGCATAACACATTGGGGAAAGAACTGTGACGTTAAGTTTATTCATCCGGCAAAAAAGTTGTTGATTGCCGACTGTTTAGTCATTACACGAGATCTCGAAACAAATTTTCAATACCAGCCAACGCGAGTAGCTCCTTACGGAACTCTTCCTTTGCAGAAAGAAACTTCCGGAGCTGAGTGATGTGCTCAAAGGCCTCTGCGGCTGTGACACTCTCACTGCTGCACTGTGGTGGCATTACTTCCTTATGTCCTCTAATGCAGCGGTTCTCAACCCTTCATGTTTCGCGGACCCCTTGTGGATTGGCGGAGATAATGGAGGACCCCTTCCGTGGCGAGGGGAAGAGAAAGGTATAGGTTAATAGTGATAATGATTTAATAAACTGATATAACTAAGGGATAATGTGAAGTAGACTTTGCTCATTGACATGCACACGAGAAAACTCGCCCAAAAATTATAACGTTTCTTTTCAATCTGAAAAAAAGTCAACTTTTATTGCCGGCTTGACTGATGGGGCAGTGCTTCGCGGACCCCTAAAATGCCTTCGCGGACCCCCATTTGAGAACCACTGCTCTAATGTGTTATTACGGCAAACACACACATCGTCGTCAAGACTAGCATATTCCGCCAGCTCGGCGTTCACATTATGGGCTTCAAGGCCAGAAAGCATGATGCCAGTGAGCTGTTCCTCATCCTCGATGTCGTCTTGGTCATCATTGCTAGTCTTGAAGCACATAATGTGAACGCCGTTTTCCGCTAATGTGTGCCCGCTTGAGCCCCGTTGAGTGCGCTTCTTTCCGAGCACCGGTGCACTGCGGAGAAGCAACACTCGCGAAAACAAGCGCTGCGGGTATTGCTTCTCTGCGGTGCACTGGTGCTCGGAAAGAAGCGTACTCAACGGGGCCGCGAGAACAAAAAAGTATGAATTAAGCGAAAACGCCGTTCGAATTAAGCGGCTTATAAATACATTAAAAACCTAGCATACAACCAAAATTTTCAGATATGTTTGAATTAACCGAAAGTATGAAATATCCGAGTTTGAATTATCGCGAGCCTACTGTAGCTTTTTATATCCTTAATTAGAGCAGCTATCAAAAATTCTAGACAGCTGATGCAAAAGTGGCAAGGGTTTAGCACAGAATTATCATCTTTTGATTATGTCACTCACTTATTCACCAGGTCCTGTAGCTTCTGGATTGGTTCTGGCTCACCGTCTCTGCCGAAAGTCATCACTTCATTTGCGTTGTAGACTCGGATGATTCTGTCGGCAGTGTTGACTAAGAAAAAACTGAAATGGGAGAAAAAAAATCTTCATAACACATGATCACTTCTGTCAGCTTTACTGCTAATTTTGACTTCTCCTCCTGGCGAGGAAGAATGGAGAAAGCAAAAATAGACGGAGGCAACTTACTCTCCACGCCTGGCAAACTCAATAGACTTAATGGCGGTGGTATTTGAAGTTCCAGTAGTCACTCGAAAGGATGCTTTCATGGCAAGATCAGTGATTGAAACCACAAGTATCTAAAAGTAAATAAAAAAGAAGGCTAGTTATAGCTAAAAAATGCAGGAGAAATTTTCCTTCACTTTAAACATAGCCTAAGCTTAACACTCTGATTTCATCAATCAAACAGAATAAATCTTTTCTACCAATGGTGTAGGCTGAAGGGAGTTCCAAAAATTAACCCTTCACCCCCTCCCCCCCAACCAAAAAGAAAAAAAAATGCTGGTTATGCCATTGTTTTTGTTTCTTACACAACATACTAGCATGACAGTGTTCCTGCCCTCGAAACATAGTAATAAAAAAGTCACTGGTGAAGATAAGCACAACAGCTGTGAGCGATTATGGGCTGTCTCACATATCGCTTATCAACCTTGCAGTAAGAGACACTCATCCCATCAAAGACAACCTACCACGGCAACACTTCAAAGATTGAGTAAATGAAGCCAAGAAGAGTTGTCCGAAGTTGTAAATGTTTAGTACAGTAAACTTTCGTTAGTTCGACCTCGGTTAATTCGATCGTGTTCAAAAGTCCCGGCGAGCGCCCATATATTTCTATGCGAGGAAAAGTTTGATAGTTCGAACTCGGGAAGACCCCACACCGGATAATTCGTCCCAAGCGAATGCGCGCAGGCTCACGTTGCACGGCACCAAGGCAGAAAAACCACAAGTGTATGGCAAAACACGGGCTCTTTGCTTCAAAGCCGAACATGTACAAATATGCGCATGCTCCTCTACGACATTGAGATGGACCATAGCGGATGACACGAGCCAGCGCAACCAAGCTGCCGTGGAGTAGCGTGGAGAACATAGCATGTGCGGGCGTGCAGACAGCGCGCGCTCTCAAAGCACTTTTTTGTAGAACCCGCTCCAAAAAACGCGGGTTCCTTTGTTTTTTTTTGCCGATGGTCTGGGTGCTTAGCGCCAAAGTCGACTCCTTAAGCTTACTCAGCGTGCGCTTTCAAAGCGCTTTTCTGTAGCATCGTGTGTGGTCCATCTTGAGCGCCAAAAAGCGCAAACTTTTTTCCCTTTTTTTTTGTTATTTTTCTTTTGTTGTGGACGGACTAGCTGTCCAGCACCAATATCAATTCGTAATTTTTTTTTTTTGTAGTGCGCATTTTTCTGGGGATGTGACATTTAGTTCTTTGGAGCATGCTTTTAGACATGCGCTTGAAGTGCAGACGGCAGTAGACCATCCGTGAGTACTTTGGACAATAAAAGGAAGTTTAATTTTAACCGCTTTTCGGCCCTTTTTTTTTTTTATTCAATCATTCGGATAATTTGACCTAATTTCAAGGTCCCGTCGGGGTCGAATTAACGAAAGTTTACTGTAGTGATTTCTACCTACATGTTTCTTTTTCACTCTTTGTGTTTGGCCTCCACCCTTTCTCTGTAACAAAAGTTCATTAAAATCTATGAGAATCTCTAAGCCTCCTGTTTCCACATGAATGAGAAACTGTTCCTGTAATTACCCATTGTGAACAGTCAGATTGTCATGGAATGAGTGTGAGGTGCCCAGCATTCCTTTTTCATATGTGAACTTGCACCCAACACAAACATTTCTGTGCCTAGAGGCAAAAACTAGCACCATAAAGGCAGCAAGAAATAGGGCCTTCTCACCTTGCCCTTGGCATTGCCTGTGTAGATATGATTTCCCCGTCTGTCAAACGAAGCCACAATGTTCAGGTCAGACTGCAAGCAAGATATAATATTAGTACCAACCACTGAAAGGTGATCAGAAAGGTTGAGCTCAGACCTCATCATCCAGAGGAATGGTCGAATGAGCACCGTCCATGTGCACAAGCACTGCGGCATGCTTGATGGGGCACACAAGAAATGTTTTGCTGGAAAACCAAACAAATAAATCTTGTTAGTACTTCATGGAGTATGCTATAGTGAAAAGCTAAATGAATTGCATGATGAAGAAAAGTGTGACCAGGCAACAAGACCAGGGTGTTTTTTTGCATATTTGTGATGCCTGGATTTGAGAAGTTGGCTTTATGTTAGCCAAATACTTTGGAAAGAGGAAGTGTTTTCGCTAATAGTCAACAATAAAAATGGGATCTGGTGGCACGATTCTATCAGCGTGAAGATAGAGCAAGTCATCAATATTAGCCCAGACTGCAATACTGGTGTCTGCTACACTGGCGGCTGTTTCATCAGGAATCACACTGAACTGGCGTGCAGTTTCTCTTGTAATAGTAATTGGATGGATATTGTTTCGAAAATGAAACCAGAGAAATGGCGTGGATTTTACTCACCGTAAAATACTGGGCAAGCACCCACTCAAAATTTAGAGATAATCGCGAACAAATGGGGGATGGGCGCTTGTCCGGTCATCAATTTTACATATCAACACGCTGTGCATATTTTCTCAGATCTTAGAAATCTGGGTATGGGCGCTTAGTGTGGTATGGGCGGATGCGTGGTATCCTACGGTACACAGAAATTTAAATGGTCACCATATACCAGTGGTCTTCACAGGAAGGCAAACCACGTAACTTGAATTAAAACACTCACCTCTGAACTCACTGACTTAACAACTTCCTCATTGCTGAGAAAACTGATAAGGGTCTTGTTTTCAGATGGAGAACCAGTCGCATAGACAGCGACATACATTAAATAGATTGCACTATGGTCTGTTGCAGGTTAAGAAAACGGGATCAGGTCCTTGCACCAAACCCTCCACCCTTTCTACTTTAGCAGGACAGATGCTGGAGAGGAGGCGAGAGAAGAGGAAGAAACAACCAATCATGGCAAGCAGAGAGCTCTGTGGAAAGGGCTTGTCCTACTTTCCTGGAACTGCAGCAGACTACCATAAAATACCGGGGAGCACCCGCTCCACCTTCACTGAAAAGTGGATTATTCTAGACATGGGAGCTTGTCTGGTCAAATCGGGCAATTAACGTATCATTTGCAGAATTCCCAAGTTTGGAACACATTAATACAGTAAAGACCACTTACAACGTAACCGCTTATAGTGCTGGACCGGGTATAACGTGGCTTTTTTAAACCACCGGTTCGCCTCCCATAGAACTCCATGTAGTTACATACCGCTTAAAATGCAGGCGCGCGAAGGGAAATACCGGTTATAGTGCTGTTTCTGAAACAGCCCGCCGACCGTGCCGACCGGCGCAGCGAGCTAGGGAACCTACATGCTCGCCGACTCACGGAGTCGGTGAGTATGTAGGTTCCCTACAGCGAGCACGCTTCCCTGTGCGACACTAGATAACCAAGATAACGGCACTAGCCGCAAGCGGCACTCGCGGCGGGGCAAGGAGGTTGCTTGAAGAAGCGGAGAGAAGCGAAGAGAGAAGCTTCAGTTGCCATAGCAACGGAGGAACGCACGCACGTGTCGTTCACGTGCGTGCGTCCCTCCGCAGCGTTTTAGGAAACAGCCGCAACGACAGACCAACCGCAGGTCGAGGAGAAGTGTTTGCGCGCGTTGCATGCCGGTCGCGGGGCAGCTTCTTCTATCCGCAAACATGGCGTCGGTTGTGATCGTCGACGTAGACGGCGTGGTGGAAGCTCATCGTTCCGCGTAAAAGCACTATCCTTGACTGTGAATTTTCGTCGTGTGTCACTATGATAACCCAGCACGTACCAGAAGGGAAGGTCCACCTACTCGTGCGGCAATGTCGTGGCGGCACTCTGAAGACGCCAGAAACGCCCGTGTCGTCGTGTTCGTTTACTTCCGACTACAGTGGTGCTTTCTAAGCATTTGTGTTTTCGAACATCGTCCGGACTTCTTATTTGGAGCATTTCATGCCTGTGCTCAAGTTGAAGGTATTACTGGCGCGTACCGTATAAAGGATGCGAATTTTCACACGTTTTCATCACCGGAGAAAAGTCATTAGGGTTAGCAATCCGTCCGCAACCCGCGACACCGCTAGAAGGCTGCGCCAGGCAAAAGTCGCTCATTTCTTTCAAAATGTGTAACACACTTGAGAGAGGTGTACTAGTCTGGTGAAATAGACTTTCCTCAAACTAAGCTTTATTTTTCATCTAACATAAAATAAATTGTTTTACAAAGGTAAGTTGTCTCATGGCATGTATTTTGGCCTGAAAAATTGATGTTTTAATTATAGCGCGGTACCGCTTATAGTGCGGATTTTCTCTACTCCCGCGACATACGTTATATGTGGTCTACACTGTAGTGGGTGCTTAAATGAAGCAGGTGCTTCCGTGGTATTTTACGGTATAATGCAATTCAATTACAATCTCATTGCAGTAAGTTATGCCGCTGACATTATTATTACTATCCTATTTTACATACAAGGTAGTTTCCCAAATAACAAATTGTAGCAACAAGAGCCACAACGACGATGAAGAAAAAACAATACTGCAGGTGCGATTGACAAAAAGAGTGCATTCAATCGTGCGAGTTTGAGACTTGCAAACCCTAACAGCAACGCTGCCGACGTTACAATTTGCAGTTCTAATTTTCTCTCAAATGTAAATGAAAAATATCTTTTTAAATAATCGTGCGCCACTTTTTGCTACAAAGCCATTCAATTTTATAACATAAATTGCTTGTTCAGCATGCACCTTTCTAAACTGTAGTGAAGTCCTTGTTTACCATTCAAACGTTTACAAATTCACAACTACTTTGCAAAGCAAGCAAAGCAGTTGTCCCCATGCTGAAAATGACACCAGTCAGAAACCCCATTATTGAAATGGTTCCTACTAAGGGTGGCCACACTGTGGCTTGCGAGCCACATGTGACTCTTTCAAGGCCCCAAGTGCGGCTCGCAGCTCCCTAGTAGAAGTAACCCGCCCCTCCTCCCCCCCAAAAAAAAATCAAGAAAAGGGACAGAGCAAAACAACAGTTTGAGTTTTGGCAGCCTTGTGCCACTCTATCCTATAGGCCAGAAACTTCTGTCAATATTTAGTTCAATGTACTGCTGGGAGGCACTCTTTTCCACAATGTAGTTAGTAAAATCAAAAGTAGCGTGCGACCCCAACGGACAAACACCTAACTGAGCTGCAGAGGACTGTAACTTGCCATTAGAGCCGAACTTCAAGGCGCTTGTTTCAAAAACGAGGATGCACTATAAAAAGGACAAAATGAGAAACTGCTTTCTCAGGCCAATTTGATGTGGCCACTAAACAAATTATTAAAAAAAAACGCCAAACTTTAGGCATGGGTGAATAGAAGATTATGGGTCTGAATCGAAGTCGAAGCGAATAAGGATTTTGGCCAAATAATTTCAAATTGATTAGTTTGAATAGTACAAGCAACAAATATCACAAGATATGTTTAAACTATAGTTTTATATTTTCCCTTATTTGGTATTACAAGTACTGTAATTGTTAATTTCAAGTGTACTGAGTTCGGGAGTATGAAGTGGTCAAAATGGTCGGAAGCTTGCGCCACCTGGCCGGAAATCCAAGCCAGAGTAAGTCAAACCCGTTTATATCGAACTCGCAAAAAAACATCTACCAGTTCGATATAGCTGGTAATTCTATATAAAAGTTTTAATGAATGTGAATCTCAAAAATCCACTTTCTGCTGAAATATTACACAATGAAGTAGTCTTGCATCTTCTGCTGCTTTTTCTTCATTGCATCCGCGATAACGATATTTTTCTGCGCTATCAACGGACTCCAAAATGCTGAGGCCGCTGCCTTCTATATTCGCGCATTAGCGCCGAACTATGCCGAGAGCACGGAGCACGTCCGAGCGGGAGCACCTTGTCCTGCGGAGCGCCGATTTGCTCTGCAAGTTGGCTTTCCCTTACAACGGGTGGCCGCGTTGGGGAAAACCAACTAACAAAACAAACTGTTTTTCCTTTTTTTTTTTCCGGGCGGTTGAAAAAATAATATTCTCGTTTGCGGACAGAGCGGGGAGAGGGAGCACAGAGCACCCTCTCTCCGCAAAAGCTATATTTTCTTTACATCTCTGCAATCAACGCGGCCTCAAAAAAAAAAAAAAAAAAGCCAGCGTGCTTTGCAAGCTGGCTTTCCCCCAATGCGGCCAGTCGCGTTGGGGGAAAGTCAGCTTGCAGAGCAAAACGGCGCTCTGTGCAGTTCAATATATAGGTAGCGGCTGCTATTTTTGTTCGATGCAACTATAGTTTTTGCTATATATTATCACTGTAACATTACTGTGCACAAAAATTTCTCGATGTAAGGAATAATTCGATGTAAACAGGTTCGATATAGTCGGGTTTGACTGTATTTAAAAGGTTGAATAATCCTATATTGTTGAATGATTCAATATTGTCAAATAATTCAATATTGTTGAATACATAAATTCGATTCAAAGCGAATGCCGAATAGAACAGAATTCGATTGGCTATTCGTAATAACCGAATATTCGCCCATCCCTACCAAACTTCGTTTTTACTGTAACTCTTCACTTATAACTTTTTTTTATATTACTTTGCATAATCTTCTGGTCTAATTGGCAAACAGTGTAAGATTAGCTGTGGCACATTGTAGTAGTACTGACAAAGCCACTCGAGGTACTAATACAATAATGATTTGTTCTGTGGTATGTGTTTTATGGTATGTGTTTTGTCTTTGTCGTTGATCATTCTCATTTGGCTGCCAGAACAATTGTATGCAAGTGTATATATAACAAAGAAAACATTCAAAGGGTTATAGGAAAAGATATACATACTCATTCCTGGGATGAAACTGCACTTTCAAAATCGGAGATGGAAACCGATACTTCTGATCACACTCTCCGGAGAGCACATCCCAGATGCAGACGCTGTTGTCTGTGGAAGCACTAAGCAGCTTGTGACCGTTCCGACTGAAGCTGCCAATGACAACAAGAAAGATATTGTACCATTGCGCATGCAGTTAAATGCAGAAAATCTCTGATATGTGCCACAAAATATAACTAAGGGTAATCAGTTCCCACTTTTCAAAATCTGGCATTCGTTTCTGGTCTTTTACAATGAAAAAATGTTGAGAATATTTTGGAATCCACATCTAGAAGTTTGGTGATTATTTCCTGACCTTTATTTCAGTAGCAAGTTTTTCATGCTTTCTACCGATACAGTCGCCGACCAATTTTTCAGTCTTCGTAGGGACCAAAAAAATATCCAAATAATAGAGCAGTGCAAAAAATAAGCAGATTAAAAGCTTGCCTCTATTATGTCTAAACGGGCTTAAAAATGCCGTAAATAGTGCCTTGCTTCAGGTTACGCCTGTTTGCGTTTGGCAACTTTCTATTAGCTTGAGAATTGCTGCCTTCTTTTCTAGCGTTATGGTTGAGTACTTTCTGCACCTCTTAGCAACACATCGCAAAGTGGAAGAAAAGATGAGCCAATGACGTCCAAGCCAGCATAGTCCAAAAAGATGAGAGTGGGAGGTCCACAACTGCAATGGCGAATGAACAAAGCAAAATGGTAACAACAATGATGATGATAATGCCACGCAACTAGAGAAAAAAATGCCGTACAGCGCTACCTAGCAGTAGGACTTAGCAGTACTCAAACAGCGCTGCCAAACCAAGCCAATCCATGTGCAACCAACAGAAAATCCAAAATGGCCGCTTTTCGTTGGCGTTTCCAGCAGATCGCTCGCGGCGATCTTGTCCGAACAATGGACTTCAAGCTGTCCGATACATCGGTCGTGAATATGCACTATTTCCATCGGGTACGTCACGGATTTAGGTCCAAAATACTGAACAAGTCCGAATTATGGCCGTCCGAAAAATCAGTCGGCGACAGTATTTCTATGAGAGGAAAAAACCTCTTCTAAGTTTTGGTGACTTATGGATATTCATATAGCTAGTAAAATGTTACACATTATTATTCAATATGACACTTATAGAATTGATGTGATGCCATGACTACCTAGCTATTCATTGACAAATAGATGAGTATATCAAATACCTTTCGGATATATGTTCTTCATTCAGACTACTTAGGACAGACTCAAAGAGCTTGGGGTACAAGCTTGGGGTACAATGTTTCTAAGCAATAAAATCCTGACTGTCCATACAAACATAACTTCCAAATTTCATGTTCCTTAACCTTGCTTAAAGACCAACCTACAGAATCCTCTTCTGCCGTGTAGAAAACCCTTTCCCAGTGGCTTCTCTACATTCCCTCTCAAACTCTTCTCTCCCACTCTCCCAAAAGGAGTAGCCTCCGAGTTATTCCCCACAGAAAAGAGCAGGGTGTACTTCTTTCTCAAATGAAGACGAAATCAAAGGGTGGTTTCCCCATTTCTGCTTTTGCTTTAAAGGCTTCAGATGCAAAAATAATGTAAAAAAGATATTTAGGTGAAACATGTAGCAGAGGTGAGCCTAGTAATACGGATAAAAGTCTAAACCAAATGCATGATTTCTTGCCCAACAAATCAATTAAGGGGGGCTCTCCCAGTACAGGGGTGGCACTCATGAAATGTACTTGGGAGCAGCTGAAACAGCTGTTTTGGAGCAGGTTGGGAGCAGCTAAAGCTCAGATCAGCTTTCATTGCACTTCAGCTTGTGTCTTAGACAAGAACAGGATCAATATCAATTGTGCTGAGCAGCACAGGTGAACATGAGTGGTTAGGGACCTAGGTAGATAGGATAACAGTGTAACAGACACAAAAACTTGAAACTTTGTGAGCCTTAATGAGAACCAAAAAGGAAGTACCATATGTTTCAGAAGATAGTGTCCTGGATAATTTCTGAGTGGCTTTCAGCTGCTCAAAATGCAAACCAGCACTGCTTATCGCACAACCCACACGTGCTTGACATAGTAATTATATGTGCGAAACACGTGACGTGCATAAGCAACAAACGTGCAGTTGCGCGGAGAAACAGGACAACATATTTCGAGTCTATACTACTGTGCAACTCAATATAGAAGCATCAGACTACAATTAACAGAGTTATCGTATTCGAAGCGATAAGCAGGAGCAAGGTTAAAGTACGCCGAGCAGATCTACCGCTCGCGTAAGAGCTGCTGGCCGGCAAAGTTTCGGATTGGACCCCGTTTCAATTCTATCAAATCACGATTTATCTTGCAGGAATAAGCTTCCAACTTCTAACGATGAAGTACTAAAAGGAACAGTTTGCTCGTTTGTTTTCAACTGGCTGACGTCCGGATCCCGGGGCGCAGAGACTCAGGCAATCTGACGCTTAACGACTTGACCTCACCCCGGCCGACTCGCTTGACCGCTTATGGTTGAAGAATAACAATCCAGTCGTAGGTGGTGTAGAACTTAACATCCGACCCCCAAGTTTTTTCGTGCGCTTCAAACTCGGGATACACAGGGAGGATAAACAGAACAAAGGATTGCAAGGTCGACCAAGCTAAACACGCTCATTGTTGCCAATCGAGTCGATAAAAACCGAAACCAAGACAAAATAAAATATTTTGACGCACGTATTGCGATAATGGCGCGAGGTATTGGCTGTAACGCAGTTACCGCAAGATGGCGCAAACAAATGCGTCTGGCGCAAAATTGCACACCCGTTCCACCCCTGCAGTATTTTGACCATTCTAAGGCGAATAAGATATCTGAAAGTCTGCACTAAGTTGTGCAGGAGTAAATTTGTATTTGTTAATAAAATGAATGGCATTCTTAGATTGCAGAATAGAATAAAATTATATTTAAAACTAAATATCCCACTTCTTCAATAAAAAAGGTGTGAAGAAATAAAATGAGAGCTCCTAACAAGCATACACTGTTAGACTTTTCGCTAGTCATCCTTCGTAGGCTCCCTTTTGTCGAACCTTCAACTCTAGCTTTAAGAGTATGCACTGCAGAGGATAGAAGCACAAGCTCCCTTGGTTTCAAGTATGCCCGACATCATGAGTGCACATGAAGTGGAGCCACAAGCTGATATTTGAAGCTTTTGCTGCATATTCAAATCAAGGCTGCAATAAAATGAAGTGAAAAGGCTGAAATGGTGTCCTTGCTACATATTCAATTCAAGGCTGAAATAAAATGAAGTGAAAAGGTTGAAATGATGTCACAGGTTATACCAGAGACAGTGAGCCTGTGCTAGGTTTGTGAGGCAATGTAAAATTAATGTTTTTTTATAAACGGAAGCTGTTACATAAAACTATTTCAATGAGACACTCAGCAGAGGGCAGACTTCACATGGTGTCAAGTTTATAGGAATTTAAAATTTTTGCAAAGAGGCCCAGAAACCAACTTTTATTGGCTGTGTTGTGCATATTATGAAACAGAAGGAAGACGTGCACATAAAAATGCTTTCACCTATATCTGAATAAATATTTACCTGAAAATTCCAGAAAAACATTTGGCAACAAAATAAACACCTTAGAAAGTGGAAACTGTATGATTTAGAAAAAAAGGTTCTATATGTATTTAAAATTTTTTTTAAAATTTTCTTGATCCTTTTAATTAATTTTGTATCCTCGTGGTATTTGTTGGCCTGACTGCTCTACCCTTTTTGAGTCCTTATCTTCCAAAATAGGCTGCAATGAGCAGATTATCTTAAAAAAAACGTAGATGTCCAGGATTATTCGTTTCTGCATTTTCTGCTATACCACAAGTTCCCCAAACCTCTTAGCACATTTTTACATATATCCATATATTTTCTTTTTATTCTGATCTGGGAACGCTGAACCCCAGCATGTATGCAAGAGGTGCATGGCACACGGTCTCAAAATTCCAACTAGGACTGACCAGAGGGAGCACACAGGGTGCACGTGCGCACTGATGATCTTGGCAATGCCTCGTGTCAAGAAGTCCCAGATGACAATCCGACCGTCGTTGCAGCCAACAGCCAGAAGCGTTCCACGCTTGTTGAAAGCACATGTGACTGCCAAGCTGATGCAGTCCAAAGCTCCATCAAATTCCTTTAGAAAAACAGAAAAAGTAGTTGTAAGGACACAAATATACAAATGTACTGTCAACTCCATCAGCTCATGCAGCTCCCTCTTAATAGGTACCGGGGCCTGAACTGCGTCAGAAAAAAACATTTTTGTTCAAGTTTAATGCTGTATCAGCTGTAATAGCACACTGAATGTCCAACAAGCAGTGACAGTCCAAACAGGGTGCACCGACAGTCAAAAGTCATCATGGTTCTTACTGTGTACCACTTTTGGCTGCTTTCAGAGATTAACAAGTTTGACTGGAGAGAAAGTTACACTGCAGGTAGAAGTTGTCCATGCAAACAACCAGTACAGTGAGCAAGTATTTTGTGGTGAAGCAAGCATGTCATAAATAGTTTAGTGGCCCAATATATATTAGAAGTCAAGTACAGTGCTGATCACACTTTACTGAAGCACAAGCATACCTGCCTATAACACAAAACCAGAACTTTTGAATTTTTTGCAGCCAACTTCACTGAGACATCCCCAGAACATATCATACTGACACACATTGAAAGTACTACCAGACGGGTACAGCCAAGAAAGATACGAAATCTCTGACGGCCCACTACGGCACCGCCTGGCAGCCACCAGACGCCGGTACTCGAGGACAGCGCAAAAACAGGCTGTCGGCGTCTTTGACAACTAATGCCTTCAGTCAAGGCCAATTGGTGACACTGGCATTGCCAGCAGCGGACATCCGAGACCCCCTCTCAAGGAGCCCCAGCCCCAGGGGCCTGCACGTATCTGGGGAGATTGCCGGGACCCCAGTGTTGTGCATGGTGGCACCTGCCGGTCTGGCACTAGCAACAATGGGTGTGTGCGAGCAAGCCGGCAACAAAAGGCAAGCAAAGGTATCGCATTCCGACGTCGTCTGTATCAAAGCACCCCAGAAACATTGCCCCATTTCTTAAAGAAAATGCTCCTATAATAATTTAATGATAGCTAAACAAAAGGGAGAGATGGGGACAGACATGTAATAGTGCAGGCTAGTTGGTGAACGGTCGTACATATAAAACCCAGAGATAAGAAAAAGAAAACACAAATAAAAATAAAAATGTCCATGTGTTGTTTTTTGTTGTTTCTTTTTTCCCTTGTCTCACGGTTTTGTAAGAATACACCAACTCATGTTTACGAACAAACCGGAGCGCCCCTAGCCGTACGCCACCGGCAGCGCACATGCGCGATGGGGTGTGGGCAAGAAGTGCAGCATCCCACATCAACAAACCATTGGGGAATGTGATGTTGTCGGCATCGATGTGAGCCCCCGTGCTCTTTTTCGCATTGGAATGGTTGATTCTATCTCTTCCCATCAATGTCTTACTACTTTAGTGGTGTGAGCGAAATTAACGAGGCTTGATGCATCACAAAATTTTAGTGTAAATAATAAGACGTGCAGCGATTCACTCCACGTGAATGCCGCAAAACAGACGCTAAAGCCTGATTCACATGGCGAGATTCCCAGTGATATGATTGGTTTGAGTCATCTTGGAGCACGTTTTGGAGCAGCTAAAAGTTCATTTTGGAGCAGCAAAAGGACCATCTGGAGCATAGGTTTACACTTTCTTCCCTCTTCTGAGCAACTTTCTGACAGCGTCAATTGCACGACATATTTGATTTCCTCAAACAAACTAGCTTTTCAGTGTATAATTACCAGGCACGACAACAATATGCTTAAAGGGACACTGACAAGGTATTTATGCTTGCCGAGGTTTTTAGTTGTACATGACATATGAGAGCCCCACTACCCAGAACAAAATTTGCAGCCCGAAATTCAGTCTCTTTCCGCCCAAAAACCGCTGGTCGAGAACTGGCCGGTTTCAGTCGCGCTCACTCTCTTCTCTATGGTCATGGGCCGTTTTCTAAGGTTTAGACACGACCACCAAATTTAATCAAAGTCATAGGTCATCGAAGGCACACACACAATATTTAAAAAAAAGCTGCAAATGCGTTGCTTGGAAAGGAAGCTGTGTCGTCTGTTTTTTTCGTTTTAAGTAAATGTAGATCACCAACACGCTCGTCTTTAATAAAAAAAGTATCGCCGCCACATGACTTCCTGCCACCTCTCTCCTGCTCCATAATTCTTCTTCCTCGCCAGTCCAGTTTCGGTTCTGGTTTCAAGCTGTTACATTTTTTTACTTTATTAAAAATATATGTGACGCTGTAGCAAAATATTGATTGGGTAGTTTTCTGACACCATAAAAAATCGCCCGGACAAAAATAAAAAATAAATTTTGGAGGTGTCAGTGCCTCTTTAATGACAAAGGACAATATGAAAATTATGTTAAAACAGAATAATATTGAGCACCCAATTTCATGTTTTATTAAAATCCTACAGGTTCTAATAAAACTGCAATTGTTAATTCAAATAAAAACAAGGCATTTGTTATTTGATTGGCATCAATTAAAATCTATATCTAGGACTTCATAACAAAAATTAGCATGTGAACAGTAAATATGCCTTAGAAACGATCCAGTCAAACTCTTTAATGTTATTCCCAAGTTTCTATCCACTACTGCAGCTAATGTGGCTTTAGTTTACTCCGTTCACTGTGCCAATGCAGAAATGGAACCTATGTAAAGGTAACAACTAAATGAGGAAGTTGACAAAAAAAAAAAAAAACGCTTACGATGAAATCCATATAGATCTTTCCACAATACACAAGTATCCCTACTAAATCTCGAATTCCAACAAAAAAAATCGTCACAATATCTTAATCTATTTTATGTACTAGCCGCAGTTTTATTTGGGATTTTTTACTGCAGGGTAGAGTTGTTGCATCACTACTTATTACACTATTTTTTTTTTGTTAATATACTTGACGCCTGTGTGTGCAGTGCCTCTCTCTGGAGAAGTGGTTTCTCTTTTGTGTGTGGCTGTGCTGCGGCAAAGCGAGTACCAGAAATTGCGACTCTTACTGCGCAGTTTTCGCTTTACTGCAGTACACCAGCGTGCGGTGAAAAGCGCACTCAACGAAGCTACCTAACCCACCAGAACAGACCCCGAACATGAAAACATTGTGCAACTGCCGAGTACCATCCGTGTCTGATAAAGAGGTCAAGTTGAGTAGCGCGTTATTTAAGGCAATAATCTAAAGTTCTGAAAATTTTGACAAGCCTACCGTAATGATTCAGCCGTGTAGCTACTATATTTTCAGTATTAATAAAGGGAAATTGCGCTTTGGCGCAACGTTGGCACAAATTCATCTCATTTGTCGAAATGTAGCAGGATCTAGCAGTGTAACCACTTTGCCACAGTTTGGCACAGATGGCACAGTAATCACATCACAGGATTCTGCTCGCTATTTTCAGTCGCGACGTTACTCGCGCTGCAAAAGTACAGACGGTAGCTACGATGCTCGATGTCGATACTAAGAATCGCAAGCAGAATCGAACCAAGTGAATCAGGCATAACAAGTCAGTGACGGCCACTGGTAACAAAGATCAGCATCTCCTTGTATCAACTGTTTACATTGAAACTAGTTATCCGAACCAACCTTCAAACACAAAGTCTTTTGAGGCCTGCCCTTCTTATCGCAACATTTGGTCTACTGGCCACTGTCATTTGATCAAGCAGAAGAGAGTTTGACCAAGTTTCAAACAGCAGACAACAGTTTGAACAATCCGACAACCGTTTGAACTTTGAGACTCGCTGAACGTTGTTCACAGGAGGTCCGGTTGAACTGACGGGCTTCCCGCATTCATGTTGGAACAAAACAAATAAATCTGACGACCACAAGTATCCGTGAAATCAACCGAAAGCGCTTTCTGCACAAGCGATTGTGGTCCGACGGTGTCTGATTTCTCTTTTCATGCCCTTGGACGAACCAAGAAGGCCAAGACACATAAAAACTGATCTTCACACCTTTTCCGGCTCTTTTGGTAAAGCCCCAGTCATGGTGTTTTGATGAGATGGCAGGTTTCAGTCTGGTTTCTTCCAAAACAACACAGGATTGCCTGTCCCACATGGCGATTTCCGCTCACACCCCCCAAACCGGAAGAGCACTCAAAGCACCGCCATTGAGGCGTGATGCAACAGAGTTGAATTGGTGTACAGCTTAGGGTGTTGGCAGTTAGTGGCTAGCAGACCCTGCAACCTGAAGAAAAAGCTGAGCTCACAAGTACAAGGGGGAGAGTGGTCTCCACATTCTGAAGATGTAAGCAGCTCTACTGCTTTTGTGAGGACTCCAATATCACTTCCAGCTTGAAGAGAAAGCCGTTTAAGTGATTGCAGGGGTTCTTAGGGGGAGGCCAAGACAAAAAATGCCATCAAGATCATCAGTCATATCCGGCAATAGGGAGGCAATGATGTGGTAGAAGCAAGACAGCTGAATTGTGATCCACTATAGATGAAACTGGGCCTCGACTTGGGTGAACCCAACTTGCAGCTTCTTTGGCAAAGAAGGCAGAAACCCCAAAACGCATGATTATGAGGTCAGTGTTATTGGACTGAAGATGTGAACCACCACCGGCAGCAGTGCTGGCCATGCCCAGACTGTCCATGGTGGCTGCATCTGCTAGACGAGGTGGCAAAGGACCTTTCTTTTTTTTATTCTGGGTCACAACTTTAAGAGGGTATCATCTAAACTTCACTGTGCTCGAGCTCAAGGTGCTGTTTCTTATTCCTATTTGTAAGTTCCAGACAGGAAGGATGATTTCGAGCCTTGAAACATACTGCAACAACACATCCTGAAGCAATGTGTCACCTCTTTCCTAGAAAAGTTCTGTGGATCTTTGCACTGTCTTAGACCTAGCAAATGATCACATATCTTAGGTGATTTCAAGAACAGATCGTTTTGTGCTGTTCCACCAACAGAGACATGCAGAGTTGTCCTATTGTGGCTTTTGACAGACTTTCCCCAAAACAATATTTTAGGGGTTATAGTTCATCAGAGAAGTTTCAGGCATTTGGTGTTGGGTGCCGTCTTATTGCGAGAAATAGTCCACTGCAATGTTGCGGATACTAATTTGAATTGCAAACATTTGCTACATAGTGAAGACAGGCAGGATCATTGCACAGTTATGAAATGCATGACATACCTCTGGGTAGTTCTGGCCAAACGATTCTGCAAAAAGAGAAAAAAATAGCCAGTAATAAATATGGTCATAGCTCTTTGGCCTATAGTAAGGTACAACATAAGAGGAGGAAAAGGGCACGCACGAGGAAAGCAGTTGTGAGAAGGAGGTTGCTCGTTTCCAGTTCGACTTTCCTAAATTTAAACTTTGGATTGGGCTAGTTAGTTCATTGCGATCGAGAGGATTAAGAAGCGTAAAAACCATGGACAAAGAAGAGACACATACAACACGAACTGGCACTAACATAAAACTGATTTAATCAAGGCAAAACACCCAGCACACATGCGTAAAACCCATCACGCCAACCACATCTGATAAAAGCAACCCATATACACAAACAACATATGACAATGATTTAAGCATTCATATCAGTGCAACGTTACTACACAAAACCATCTAGAAAAGAAACTTCTTTGTCGTTTAGTAAAATCGAAGGTGTGCTGAAGCAGTTGTCACCTGAGGACTTTAAAAAATATGCTTCAACTATTTCCCTCTCAGTCTTGTTTCTGCTCTTTTAATAAATTTTGTTAATTCTAACAGTGGATCACACCCGCACCGCATGCAGTGTACTGCAAGGTGTCCCCCGCTTTGTTACTAACTGCTAGACGATGTTCATGCACCCTTTCGTTAAAACACCGCGCAGTCTGTCCAATATACACGCGCCAACACTTCAGCGAAATCTCGTAAACAACAATTTCGGCGCTAATTTTATGGTCTACCGTATATGTGTTCAAAGGAGCAGTATTACATCGGACACACCAATATCTTGTTAAAAAAGACACGAAAAGGAACTTTAAAACGAATTAAACCAATAGCAAAGAGCACCTGGTGGATGTCGCTAACGCCTCGTTTGTAATGCCCATCTAAGAACCTTGAGAGGTAGTGACGGTTATTGTATCGCCTCCGGCCACAACGAGAGAAGAGGGGAAGGAGGAACTCCCCCCTTCCCGAGAATTCCTTTTGTGCGTCCCAGACGTCGCTATTGTCCCTCTAAAAAATTATAGAAGATTAACCCGTCACTCAAAATTCTTACAAAAGCAGCCACTTCGGTGGCTGGAACGTCTAGGCCAGGGGTGGCCAAGCTGGCCTGACCTAAGAGCCGCAAACAAAACCACGGAACTTCCAAGAGCCGTGGGGGGGGGGGCAAACTTAACTTTTGTTTAGAGTCTGACTGTACGTACAGGGGTACAAGGCTGTACGACTATACGTATGGCAGTACAAGGCTGTCAAACTGCAAGCTGCAGTATGCTTTATTCTGAAATCCTTCTTTTTTTCCTGAAGAAAAGCGGAAAGAGGTGAAAAAGGGGGGGGGGGGGGGTCCCTTACGAGGGATCCGCGAGCCGCACTTGGACCAGCAAAGAGCCGCATGCGGCTCGCGAGCCGCGGTTTGGCCACCCCTGGTCTAGGCCATCCTCTCGACGTCAGCCTCGTGGTAGCTTTGCTTGTCCCGAGACGACTTACAGCACGATTGCGTTGGATGTCACGTGCTCTAAGCTGGGCCTTCTCCGAGCGCTTGCCAGAATGGACTATTTATAACAAAAAATAGAGCCACCAGGCTCAAAATAGAAACGTGATTGTCATTTATGGATATTGTGAATCATATTCAACCTATATTTGAACATGACGGATATATTTCGAATTTCGTTGAAGTATCCCTTTAAAGGCACGAGCTGTGCGGGCGCGTGTATTTTGGACAGACTGGGCGGTGCTTTAACGAAAGGGCACGTGAACATCGTCTAGCGGTTCATATCAAAGCAGGGGGACATCTTGCAGTACACTGCATGTGGTGCGCGTGTGATCCCCTGTTGGAATTAACAAAATTTATTAAAAGAGCAAATAACAAGACTGAGAGGGAAATAGTTGAAGCGTATTTTATAAAGTCGTCAGGTGAAAACTGCGTCAGCACGCTTTCGATTTTGCTAAGCGACAAAGAAGTTTCTTTTCTAGATGAGTAAAGCTATACGCACTACACCGTGCACTTTGGCCGGAAATGGCTATACGCACTAAGCGAAGAGCTCATGCCATTTGGCTTACCCTTTTCGAACGGCGCGAGTATCACTGAGGAGCTCGTTAACACCCCCCCCTCGGCCTGCATTCACGCCACGTCGCAGCGACAGTGTGCGGCTGCTAACTACAAAACGTAACCCGTACACGCCGCTTCGCGGCGTCACTCCGGCAACCCAAGTTCCGCTGTCCTCGACTGCACCTCTGGAAAGAGACTCCCATACCATTTAGTTCTATAAAGTTTCGTCAACATTTGTTTGTTTTTTTTTGTTTTTTTTTCGAAGTGTCTAGCGTTACGTCCGACGTAACCCAAGTTACGTCCAAATCTCCGCCTTCCCTAGGTTCACGGTAGGGAGAGAGGAGGGCGGGGGGGGGGGGGGGGGGGGGGGGGGGTAGGTATACGCGTTTCAGTGCTCTGTCCGGACGTAACGCTAGCCACAGCGTTTTTTTTCCAGAGTTGATTGTAAAAAAGAAATGTTGTAAATATAGCCAAATGCCACGACAAAACAAAATGTTTGAGAAAAAAAAAAAGTAAAAAAAAAGGACCACACCACGTCCACTTGTGTATAAAACAGATACCTTACCACTATGCAACTATTCGTTTTATACAAGTTTGCGTAGTGCGTATAGCCCTTTTCGGCCGAGGTGCACGACGGAGTTCGTATAGATTTACTCTTTCTAGATGGTTTTGTGTGGTCACGTTGCACTGATACGAATGTTTAAATCATTGTCATCTGTTGTATGTGTATATGGGTTGCTTTTATCAGATGTGGTTGGCGTGATAGGAAAGAGTGTTCACGCACGTGTGCTGGGTGATTTGCCTTGATTAAATCAGTTGAAAATTAGCACCAGTCCGTGTTTTTTGCGCTTTTTAGTTCTCTAGATCACGGCTTTCCTAGTTCCTGCCCTTTTTCCCCTCCCACTGTCTTTCTGATGCATCTGACTACATGTTTACTTTTGCTCGGGAGAGCAGCGGCACCGCAGAAAGGAAAATCGCCCGTACCATTAAGGTCTGCGGCGCCACGTCTGGTGGTGATGTACAGAGATGAAAGAAAACTGATGAGGATGGTTCAAGTGGAGCTTCTGGGTGTGTGAGGAGTTGATGTTGGAAGAGGTGTCATCTTTGTCTTTGCTTAGAATGCCAGGAACGATAAGCGAGCAAAACAAAGCACGCTGTCGTGAAATCCCCTTTCAGCCTTGTAAGTCGAAGCAGGAGGAACTCTAACGGAATTATGTTAGTCATGCACAAGTCAATTAGTCGACTTACAGTAGAGATATGATCAAGTGTATCGGTCTCCAATGCAAGCACTACTTACCCAGCAGTTCAAGGTTCATATTCCTTCTAATCGTGTACGCGCTATATTGGTCGAATAACCATTTAAACGAAAGCCACTGGGTACGGTGAGTAGCACCGAAATAGGTCGGCAGGGAACCTCACCACGATTAATATAACCACTGTTCTCAAGTCCTCAACCCTTCGATCGTCTTCTCTCCGGAACTGGTTGGCTTACGACTTGACTGCTTATGACATCAAAAGCGACTTCGTCACTTCGTTATCATGATGATGATTGGATTCGTGAAACGCAGTTTGAAACTCCGTGGAAAAGGTGGAAAATCTGGTTCCCGATCATTCCCGATAAGGTTTCCTCAGAGATAACTGAGCGTCTCGGTAGTAATGCAGGAACAAAGGCTATCCTAGCTGTCTCTATTTGCACTTAAAGTGCAGATGGGTGGCCACAAAATTAAATAAAATGAATGAGGAATGCGGAATGTCGTGGATTCTTATCCAAACCGGATTGGCCAAATTTTAGTGGATTCTTCCGAGTGCGATCACATCGCGCCGCCCACTGAAGATCAGTGGCGCCGCCGCCGCCGGTGTAGGACGCCGATCTCACTACCCCCCCGCTTCGACTACGGTAGTGGTTATGGCGTACGCCAAAATCAATACCGTAGTCGTTTCGGCGTACGCCATAGTCAATACCGTAGTCTTTTTCGCATACCCCAAACACACTATCCTTACGCCAAATTCAATACCTTGAATAACGTCGGTTGAGCGGGGATTGAGCTCCGCATTTCGCTAAAACTGGCGGAATCAACTTTCTGCAGCAAAATACCCTGATTGTTTGTTGTTGTTTGTATGAGCAGCGGAACGCGCGCGGCAGGCGTTGTTAATTTTGATTACCGTTGATACGGCTGACGGCGCACAGAGCTGAAGGGCACAAGCAAGGAAGCTTGGAGTGATTCTGTGTCAATGTGATTTGACGTCGCTTCTTTCTGTTTCTTCAATCATGGTGCAAATGCAGGTGCCCGACTCCCGAACGATTCGAAGGCAAGAGTGGTAGCCCGCCTATCCGCTGGTCTTTCAATCGCATGCCCTGTCGTCATTTTGGGCACAGCGGAAGAAAATAAGACGCTCACTATTTTAAATAGCGTGCGATCGGCCTGTCTAGGTTTTGGCGACACCGTTTCAGGCTGTAGGTGAGAAAATTTAGCCACTACAGTACGACTGCTAGCCTGGGGTCTGTGCCTCACAACAGATCGAATCGGGTGGGGGTGGGGATCCCTGGCAGTGGGACCTTTCGCCGTACGAGTTGCGGTGCGCTAACACGCTCGACCTCCGATACCCCCTTGGGTCGCAGCGCTTGCTGAAAGAAGTTTTGGATCGTTTTACGCAGATTTTGCAGTGTGTACGAGACGCACAACAGCTACGTACTACGTCCTAGATGCCCAAACTGAGGATCGCTACTTGTGCGCGGCTCTCGTGATCTGGGGAACAGCCATGAAAATGTTGCATTGAGAAGTACGGAAATGTAATATTATAAAAGAAGAGTATTTTAAACTGGCTTGCATTGTCCCTGAACATATGAAAATAAAACTGATTAGGAATTAATGCCGATCAGATCGAGTGGAAATGTGATATAGATCTTTAAATAGGCTCGGATATTATCGGATTATGTGCGAAGTTGCGTCGGAACAGGTGGGCAGGGTTGGTATATTCTCCATCCCCCACATAATTCAAACTCGTTGCCCCCCATCCCTGTTCCTATATTCTTCCAATGTGGCAGGTTTTTTTTTTTTTTTTTTTTTTTTGTGTGTGTGTGTGTGTGTGTGTGTGTGTGTGTGTGTGTGTGTGTGTGTGTGTGTGTGTGTGTGTGTGTGTGTGTGTGTGTGTGTGTGTGTGTGTGTGTGTGTGTGTGTGTGTGTGTGTGTGTGTGTGTGTGTGTGTGTGTGTGTGTGTGTGTGTGTGTGTGTGTGTGTGTGTGTGTGTGTGTGTGTGTGTGTGTGTGTGTGTGTGTGTGTGTGTGTGTGTGTGTGTGTGTGTGTGTGTGTGTGTGTGTGTGTGTGTGTGTGTGTGTGTGTGTGTGTGTGTGTGTGTGTGTGTGTGTGTGTGTGTGTGTGTGTGTGTGTGTGTGTGTGTGTGTGTGTGTGTGTGTGTGTGTGTGTGTGTGTGTGTGTGTGTGTGTGTGTGTGTGTGTGTGTGTGTGTGTGTGTGTGTGTGTGTGTGTGTGTGTGTGTGTGTGTGTGTGTGTGTGTGTTTAGAGCTGCGGTTTTCTATACTTCATCTCCCCTTAGCATGGACTGTTAGCCAGATTCTACAAGTGTGAGCTAATTGCTTTGGATCACACCATGGCGGTTGCACGAGTGCTCATTCACTGCAAGCGCTGTGAAGGCAGTCGAGGCCATACCATCTTGTGCTTGCGCAGCCTTTGCGGTTTGAGGTCCTTTGTTTTGGCCTGTTCTTTTGTGTCTGGGTTTCATGTTCTTTTTGTTTCTTGTTTCGTGTACTGGATATGGTTGGAAGTTATGTTACGCCTAGTAGTACGATCTTTTGTAAAAACATTGGTTTGAGAGTAAATGGTTCTAGTACCTTCTTTCTTTTCCTTCTGGCCGAGCAATGAACCTTTTGTAGAAACATTGGTTTGAGAGTAAATGGTTCTAGTACCTTCTTTCTTTTCCTGCTGGCCGAGCAGAGAGCGAAAATGGTTTCCTCGTGCCGACTTCGGGACAGAAGATAACCCACGATGGGGACAAAGGCAAGTTTGGGGAAACCATATCTAGGTCACAGCGGCTCAATGGGCAAACAGGATGTGGCTCACGTTTTGCGTGTGGAACAGGTTAGAGAGGCCTGGTGCGCGCATTGTTTTCTAGCCATTTATTTTCTATCCCAGTCGCGTGTCTAGGTGGCAGCACGTATTCGCCAAAGGGTGGATTCTGAAGGAGGTTTGGACGTGTATATAAGGCGGTGTTTGTTAAATAAACTTTAACCTGTGTCCGAGACTTCAATGTTCATTTCATTTTTATTTTTATTTTCCTAAGTCTCGGGTTTACTATGTTTGTCATTCACCAGCTCGCCTGTGTTTTCTCCCTTTCTTCACTGAATAATGTACTGGTCAACAATTATCTGGTCTTACCCAAAGTCGAAGGGAGACCAATGAAGTTTGAGGTAGACACAGTAGCTTACCACCTTGACCAGGGCAAGACCCTATAGATGACGCGTTGCTGACACATGAGGAAGTTCTTGACTCAGGGATGAGCAGGCACAAAGAACCCTCGGTGAACCTGGATCTGAAAAAAGCGCTTTTTGAAGACCAGCCCTGTTCCTTTTGCAATGTGTACCGCAGTGGAGGCAGAACTCCGGATGCTCCAAAGCTAAGGCATAATCGAGCCAACACAACACTGAACGCGGTTGAAAAACTGGCGGTAAATCTGATGCGGGCTGTAACAGATTTTGTGGTGAGCGTGTTTGGAGGCACCACTTTTTCAACACTGGACCTCACTAATAATAATAATAATAATAATAGTAATAATAATAATTTTTATTTGCACGAGAAAGTTTGCCCACTCAGCGGCGTGCGAGGCTAGACAGAAAGGTTAGTACCCTTACGCATGTGCGCCTGCTAGCCCGCCGCTGAGTAGGTGTAAACATAAACAAACTGTAGTCGTAAGTACAAGATAACACATATACACGTATGGAACAAATGAATAATCATAACCCAGAGGGGAAGATAAGAAAACTCGCTGTGCCCCAACCCACCGCCACGCAGACCACGGCAGAGGCCCCAGCCACAAGGCATTCCACTAGCTGTGTGTGACAGTGGAGACAGCAGATATGCTCACCATGAACACCATCAAAGGACGACACAGAGTGAAAAGGATGCTCTTGAAAATTTCAGCTGCCGCGGCAATTTTCCAGCTCTGCAAGGAGACAGTCCTAGCAGGAAAACTTATCATGAAATTTTACCTGGGTAATGTTGTTGTGACGATCTGGATCGGTCATCAAGATAAATGGGCACCGTGCTCAGGAAAGACATGTCAACGTCATCAGCTACCATGCCAAAACTACTTCTTTTATTTCGATCATGAGCGCTCGCACGAGCCGCTTCAGAGCGATGTCTCTTTTGCAGCTCATCACGTGTCAAGGTTTTTAAGTGTCGACCTGATATCACGCTGCCACGCAACAAACACTAAACAAATACTGCGTCGAGCAATATGCACATGATTAAATAATGATATACATACGACGTGATAAATGAGAAAAAAACATAAAGTTTACAAAGTTCAGTCCCCAGGTAGAGGCTGCACAAATTTGACGACCGGCTTCAGTTTCTCCACATGCACTACATCGCGGCCAGTACCGTCCACGAGTTCAAGCTCGTAGTTCACGGGAGAGAGCCGGCTCACAATTTGGCGAGGGCCAGTAAATCATAGTGTTGCCTTGACTCTGATGAGTGGGCTCTCCTACAACACGAGCTAGTCCTCAAAAAGAACATACATGTGCCACTGTCAAAGTCGCTTTCTTGCTTTTCTTGAGCATGCTTGATTTGTCTGGAGGTCAACTTCCGAGCTGCGTACCGCTGTCAAATGTGACACCAACGTTGGTGCTGAGGGTTGACAACTTTCCAATGTTCTGAGACAGAAGTCCCCTGGCATAAAAAGGCTTGATCAATGGAAAGTGGGGTCAGTGTCCGCATTGCTGAGCTTAATTGTCTTGATGCCCACTGCAGCACCAGAGGTGATGTAACAAACTACTGATGACACCTTCCGGGCAATAGGGGCATCAGGTTTTCACTTTTCTCCGTCAACAATGCAACAGACTCAAAGTGCCGTTGCCATTCCAGAAATTCTTGGGTCAGCTCTTGCCGGCATCACGTGACAAAGTGGCCGCGTCTCTTACAAATGAGACGGAGCGGACGAACTTCAGGGTATTGGGACGAAGAACATTGAAAGTCCCGCGAAGTTTTTGACACATGCTTAAGCGACACATGCTGCTTCTTTTGCTTCCCTGTTGCAGAACGGTGCTGGTGACGATTGCTGTCGTCAGCTTTCCAATGAGGCGGTGGCCGGCCCTGCCCAAGAGCAGGAAGGAGTGCGCTTTCTTTGTCCCTGCGCAGCTTGCACTCGCTCTGCAGCGAGAGCCAAAACCGGTGTCTTTGGTTGGCTGAAGACAACCTGGTCAAAGCAAAGGAAAGAGTCCAGCAACTCATTCAACGAAGCGAAGGGCCTGTCGAAGCATGCTTTCGTGCTTTGT